CAACGCAATGCCAACACAGTGCCATCGCAGTGCCAAACCCATGCCAACGCGATCCCAACCCAATGCCACTGCAATGCCAACCGGGGGAATCCTGGGTTATATATTCCAAACGGAATCTTGCTGGTTGAGGGTTTCAGTAGGAATCGTTATGCTGAGGGTGGCACTCGGACTCGCCAGCGCAATCCCACACCAGTGCCAACTCCATTCCAAACCAACGCCAAGGTGACCCAACCTTTCTGCCAATGCAACGCCAATGGGGCGAATTGCTTGTGGTAGCGTGCAATCGCAATCCTTCTACGAACCTTTCTGTGGATGATGCCATCCTTACAAGAATCCTTCTAAGGACTCTTCTTCGGAATCCTTATTGTGGGGGTCCGTAGGCATCTTTCCTGTGGACGTATTCCATCGGAATCCTTATGTGGAGCGTTTGGTTGGGACTTGCCAGCGCAATGCCATCGCAATGCAAACGCACTGTTAACGCATTGCCATCGCAATGCCAACGCAATGCCAATGCGATGCCAAACCATCACCAATCCAATGCCAATGCAATGCCGATGGCATGATTCCAGTCTTTCAGCAGATTCCAACAGATCCCTCTGTGGACGATTTGGTTACGGATCTTTCTTCGGAGGATGTCGATCGGAATCTTTTTGCGGAGGGTTTCAGCCGGAATCCTTCTGTGGAGGGTTTCGCCAAACACCCTTCGTGTGGGGGGCCCTTCGTGTGAAACGTTTCAATAAGAATCCTTTTGTGGTGGGAGGCATTAGAAGTCGCCAGCGCAATGCCAAAGCAGTGCCAACGCAGTGCCAAACCAATGCCATGGCAATTCCAATCCAATGCCAATGCCATGCCTGGGGGAAATCCTTGTGATCGGTTTCACCAGGATTCCTTCGATGGAGGGCTTCGAATGGAATCCTGCTTTGAAGGGGATCAATGTGAACCCTTCTGGTGGAATGTTTCAATCGGAATCCTTCTGGTGTGGGTTTCAATAGGAATCATCCTGCGAGGGGGGGCCGTGGAATTCGCCAGCGCAATGCCGAAGCAGTGTCAACGCAATACCAAACTAATGCCACGGCGATCCCAACCCAATGTCAATGCAATGCGTGTGTGATAGATTTCAGCGGGAATCCTTCTGTGGAGGGCTTCGCATGTAATCCTTCTGTATAGGGTTTCAGTATGGACCCTTTCTGTGGAGGGTTTCAATAGAAGTGCTTCTGGTAGAGGGTTTAAACCTGAGTCCTTTTTGTGGAGGGTGCCATTCGGACCCGCCAGCGCACTGCTAACGCATTGCCATCGCGATGCCAACGCAATGCCAACGCAATGCGAAGCGCTATACCAACGCAGTGCCAATGCGATACCACACCATGGCCAAACCAAAACCAATGCAATGCCAACTTGGGTATTTCTTCTTTTCGAATCATCTCAATAGCAAACAACTGGATTCCGGGGGAAGGAGGAGGAGGGCGGGGGAGAGGAAGGAGGGAACGGAACAGCGCGGCGGAGGTGGAGTAGCCCCCCCACAAACAAAAACGGGAGGCCGTGCCGCGTTTTTCGTTTTTTTTTTTTTTTTTGTTTTTTTTTTCAGGGGGGAGGTGCAGGATAATCAAACAACTAAATTCTTGGGCACGCAGGGGGAGGAAGAGGAGGAGGAGGTGGAGGTGGAGGAGGAGGAGGAGAGAGAGGAGGGAGGAGGGAGGAGAGAGGACGAGAAGGAGGAGAGGAGGAGGCGGAGGGAGGAGGAGGAGGAGGAGGAGGAGGAGCCCCCCTCAACAAAAACAACCTTGACAGAAATACCAACAAACCAACAAACCGGGAGGTCGCGCCTCGTTTGTTTTTGGGTGGGGCAGGAGAAACAAAAACTAGATTCTGGGGGAGGGAGGAGGAGGAAGAGGGGAGAGGAGGAATATGAGGAGGAGGAAAAGGGGAGGAAAGAGGATGAGGAGGAGGAGGAGGAGGAAAAGGAGGAGAAGGACGATGAAGAATAATGTTCGAAACCTTACGGACAACTATATCAAAACACTCTTAGAAAGGCGAGGGCTTCCACAATTTCCCGTTCTCCTTGCCTCCCCCTCCCTCCTCCCCCCCTCTCCCCCCTTTGGCCCAGCCAGGATGGCGCATGTACTGCTCCCACTCCCAGGATGGGCCTGGCCAGAGGCGGTGGTCGGACGGGGCTGGGACGAGGACGAGTCTTTTCCAGTGCGCTCCGAAACGCTCCGAGAAGGCCGCGGGGCCCGTGACGTCCTCCAGAGTTGCCAGATCTCAGAGATTTTCGATTTGTCCTTGCCCGATTTGATCCTCGGAGGAGGAGGAGGAGGCGGATGAGGAGGAGGAGGAGGTGGAGGAGGAGAAGGAGCAGCGGGAGGAGGAGGAGGAGGATGATGATGATGATGAGGAGGAGGAGGAGCAGGAGAAGGAGGAAGAGGAGTAGAGGGAGGAGGAGGAGGAGGAGGAGGAGGAGGAGGAGGAGGCGGAGGAGGAGGAGGAGGAGGAGGAGGAGGAGGAGGAGGAGGGAGGAGGAGGAGGAGGAGGAGAAGGAGGAGGCGGAGGATGATGATGAGGAGGAGGAGGATGAGAGAAGAAGAAGGAGGAGGAGGAAGAGGAGATGGATGAGGAGAGGGACGAGAAGGAGGAGGAGGAGGAGGAGGAGGAGGAGAAGGACGGGGAGGGGCAGGAGGAGGAGGAGGAGGAGGAGGAGGAGGAAGAGGAGGAGAAGGAGGAGTGCTGGCCTCGTCTCAAGTGGGCAGTGGTCAGATCACGGCGGCCCGGAGGAGAGCGCGGAGCTGCCGGCCGCGCGGCGCGCAGACGCCGCGACGGGCCCGGGAGCCCCCGTGGCCGCGACGGGGCGGCTCGCCTCGACGAAATCGAGGGCGCCTTCCTCGAGTTGGAGGAGGGAGGAAGGAAGGAAGGAAGGAAGGAAGGAATGAGTGAGTGGGTGGGTGGGTGGGTGCGTGGATGAGTGAGTGAGTGAGTGAGTGAGTGAGTGAGTGAGTCAGTGAGGCAGAGGAGTGAGGAGGAGGAGGAGGAAGAGGAGGAGGAGGAGGAGGAGGAGGAAGAGGAGGAGGAGGCGGCAGAGGAGGAGAAGGAGGAGGTGGAGGAGGAGGAGGAGGAGGAAGAGGAGGAGGGGGAGGAGGAGGAGGAGGAGGAGTGAGGATCGGCCTCCTCCCTGCTCCTGCTTCCCTCCTATTGCGACGACGAGGGGGGGGTGAGGAGGACCGACGGCGGCAAGGACTCCGCGGGGGCGCTCTCGCCTTGCCTCGCACGTCGGGGAAACGTAGCACTCGAGTTTGCCAGAACTCGTGCTTATCTGCAGTGGAGACCCACGCCAAGAAACACCCTGCTTGCCTCCGCCTCCAGGGTGCCCTGGGTTTCTTGGGTGTCGGTGGTTTTGCTGTTGAAAGCGTGACGTGCCCACACCAAAAATCAATGGCCGTCCTGGGGTCTCGGGGTTGGATTGCTTGTGGAAGGTTTCTTGCTGTCGGGCCCCTACTGTATCCACGCTTTTTGCCGAGACCGTCTTGGGTTCTGACGGTCCGGTTTTCGTGGAATGTCTGCGAGTCCCCTGCGCCTGAGTGTGTATGTCTCCCCGATCGAAGGGGAGTGACGAGCGAACAACGCGGACCCATATCCGTGGGGGGGACGGGTCCGAGGTAGGAGGACTGGCTACGGGTATGGGAGAGGGCTGCTAGACCTAGACCCAAGGGGAGGCTCCCGTTCGATTGCGGACACCCATTCGACACCACGCGCCCATGGCCCCCTCCGCCGCCCCCCCGAGGGGCATGGGTGTGTGTGCTGTTCGCCCGTCAGGGAACAAAAACTACATAAGCACGAGCTTGTCGGAGCTCCGCGCGGAATTTTCTCGAGTCTGCGCTGGACCCGACTCCCTGGCAAGCGGAGCGCGCCAGGGGCAGGGGGGCCCGAACGCCGATCCAAGGACGCCGCCTGTTGCTCATCTATCCTGCCTTGGCATCCTCTATCATTCCCGCGCACAAGAAGAACGACATTCACTATTCAGTTGATTTTTACGGAGGGCTCCTCGGAGGAGAACCCGCTGACCTTGACATGAGCATTTTGGTTGTGGTTGTGGTCGATTTGGCCGTCCTGGGACGTCCACATCGACCACAACCAACACTGGGCAAGTTTCGGTGCTCTGACTACTGTTGGCATGCGCAAGACATCCCCAGGGTGTGGCCTCGATGTGGTTATGGTCGCTTGCTGTCCCCTCATCCTCCTCCCTGACGTCTTCTCATTATGAAAACATCGCGATGGAGCGTTGTTGCTGATTTATGCTCTGGGGACCCTCTCCTTCGGATGCATGTCCTGGGAGGTTCAATTCTTACTTCGCCCTGGTCCGAAATCCGGCTTGCTCCCGCTTACTCCGGCCCAATCCCGCTGGGTCTGGCTTAAACCCCGCTACTCCGCGGCCTAATCCGGCGTAGCAGCCCCCCAATAGGGTCTTCCTGCTTGCCTCCAGGGTGCCCTGGGTTTCTTGGGTTTCGATGGCTCTGCCATGGGGTTCGTGACGTGCCCACACCAACAACTCAAGCGACGTCCTGGGGTCTCAGGGTCGGGGTTCTCGTGGGAGGTCTCTTGAGGTCGAGCTCCTGCCGTAATCCTTCCGACGAAGACCTCCCGGTAGACGCTTCCTACGTCACCTGCAGCCCCGGGACCGTCCACGACGACCCATCGATCCACCGCCGGTCCCGGGGAACAGGCCCAGACCTCGGGGGAGCCACGCCGTGGGCAAGATCACGACGGGGGGGTGTCAGGGCCCCCCCCCCTCACCCTCGTCCCCTCTTCCTGCTCCCTCTCCTCCCCCCCTCCTCCTCCCTCCTCCTCCTCCCCCCTCCTCTTCCCCCTCCCTCTGCCCCGCCGCCGACGAGAAAACAAGTTTTCCCAGGCTCGGGAATCTGGGGTGCGTGGCGGCGCCGCCCCAGAAATTGCCCTTCTGGGGTGAGGGCTGCCGCGCGCCTGCCCGCGCCGCGTGCCCTCCCGGCGGCGGCAGCCTGGCCCGTTCGCTTCTTCCTGCCCCCCGCCCCCCCCTTTCGGGGGCGGAAGAGAGGGGGGTGATGACTAGGGGGGGGGGGGGATATCATGGCGGGGGGCATGATATTTCCCCAGATTCCATGGCGCCTCTTCTTGTGTCATGACGTCCCCGGCTCCCAGCCTGGGCCGCGCACATGCCGCCGGCCATGATGTGCACCCCTCCCTCTTGGACACCCCCCTCTTGGCCGCTCCCGACACTTGCACCAGCAGCATGGGATGGCGCGCGGGCGCCGCGCGCCCGCGCTGGGCGGCTGGGCGGCGGCGGCGCTCGCGGCCTGCGGCGCGGGGCGCGCGGGTGCGGCGGATGGTGTCGGCAGGCCGCCGACTTCGCACGTCGCACGTCGTCGACGTCGACGACGACGTCGTCAATGTCGTCGTCGTCGTCGTCGTCGTCGTCGTCGTCGTCGTCGTCGTCGTCGTCGATTCCGTCGACGTTGTCGACGTCGTCGACGTCATCGACGTCCTCGCCGACGTCGTCGCCGTCGACGTCGTCGACGTCGCCGCCGCTTTCGCCAGTCGCTGGGCCCAGATCTCTGAGGAGGTACTTTCTTCAACCTCGATTTCGGCCTCCGTGGCCCGTTGTCGGGCGCTGGGACCTTGAAAAATTGGTCCGGGACGCAAAACTACCCCAGAAGGGGTCGGAAGTTCAGGGGAGAAGGGGAGGGGGAGGGCGACGAGGAGGAGGGGCGAGGAGGAGGAGGAGGAGGAGAAGGAGGAGGAGGAGGAGGAGGGGCGACAAGGGGCGAGGAGGGGCGAGAGGAGGAGGAGGAGAAGGAGGAGGAGGAGGAGGAGGGAGGGTGAGGAGAAGGAGGAGGAGGAGGAGGAGGAGGAGGAGGAGGAGGAGGGGAGGAGGAGGAGGGAGGAGGAGGAGGAGGAGGAGGAGAGGGGGAGGAGGAGGACGTCTGGGGATGTCGTCCTCGAGGGTCGGGGCCAGAGGTGCTGGGGCGCTTTTGGGTCTCTCTGTGCTCCCGGGGGCGTTCTGGTCGCTACGACTGGGTTCGCCTCCAGAGTCGTCGCAACTATGAGTAAGGGCGCATCCAGAGAGAGCCCAGGGTCGACTTTGAAGGAGGTCATCGTCGTCGTCGTTCGCGTCGTCATCATCATCAGCAGCAGCAGCATCAGCATCATCATCATAGCATCAGCATCAGCATCAGCATCAGCATCAGCATCATCATCATCATCATCACCACCATTATCATCATCAGTGTCGCCATCATCATCATCATCATCATCATCATCATCATCATCATCATCATCATCATCATCACCATCATTATCACCACCATCATCGCCATCATCAGCAACATCATCAGCATCACCATCATCGCCATCATCCTCTTCATCACCATCACCATCATCAGCATCATTATCATTGCCGTCGTCATCACCATAGTCACCATCACCACCACCATCGCCATCCCATTCACCATGATCGTCGTAATCGTTATCGTTCCATGATAGCATTATCATCATACTCACCACTAGCACCACCATCATCAGCATCACCATCAGCATCATCGTCATTTTAGCGTCACCATCATTATCATCATCCGTATCGCCCTCATCACCATCATCATCATCATCATCATCATCATCATCATCATCATCATCATCATCATCATCACCGTCGTAGTTGTTATCATCACCAGGAGCATTTGCATGGTCATTATCATCATCATCACCACCATCATTAGCATCATCATCAGCATCAGCACAGCCATCACCATCATAATGCTGATGCGCCTAAGACGAATACTAATACGAGCAGTACTGAACCTACTCAGACTTATACTATCAGTAAAGCGAATAAAGCAAATATTGATATTGTGAATTTGAATACGAATGCGACTGCGAAACAACAACAACAACACTAATCGTGCAGCTAATACTGATCATATGTTTAATAATAATAGTGATCACCGTGAGAAGACGAGTAATGAACCTAATATTAGTTTTAGTAGAGATATTAAAAATAACAAGAGGAGGAGGACGAGGAGAAGGAGGAGGAGGATGAGGAGGACGGGGAGGCGGAGGAGGAGGAGGAGGAGGAAACGGAGGAGGAGAAGGAGAATGTGGAGGAGGTCGACGGGAGGAAAGCGGCGAAACGGGAGGAAGAGGAGGGGGAGGATGAGGAAGCAGGAGCAGGAGAGCAGAGTGGAAGGAGGATGAGGGAGGAGGAGGGAGGGAGGAGGTTCCTCCTCCTCCTCCTGCTTTTTCGTCCTCTTCTTCCTGCTCCTGCTTCTGCTGCTGCTGTTGCTCCGCCTCCTCCTCCTTCTCCTCCTCCTCCCTCCGAGCTCCAATTACGCTGCGTTTTGCAAGACGCTCCAAAAGGTTCCCTCCTTTGCCCCTTATCCCGTTTCCGCGCCCTCCCCCCGATCCCCGCCCACGCCCCCCTCCCCCCTGAGATATCCAGAGGTCCGCGGAGGCCTCCGGTGGCTTCTGGAAGCTTATGGAGGTCAAACGGGGCCAAACACGCCAAGAACTTCGATCCTCGTCCTCCTCCTCCTCCTCCTCCTCCTCCTCCTCCTTCTCTTGCTTTCTTCTTGCTCTCCTGCGTAATTAGCCAAGTTGGCTCGAGTAACAAACCTTTGTCCTGAGGCGCTTCGATCTTGTCTGCAGCCAACGGGTTGGCCCCAAACTGCCTGCCTGTTGGGCTCTTTCCGACCACGCGATCCCTTTTCAGGCGCCCTCCCGAGCGCCAACGGGTCCTCGGCTACTCCTCAGCGTCTCACTGCACAATCACGTGCTCGCCGTATGCGCAGCAGCAGCACTGCCTCGCGCACGTCCTGCTTCTCGACACGTGGCTGGCCAGCACTCCAACCAGCCCGGCCGGCCGCCGTCTCGGTGCCGGCCGCCGCGCGCGTCCTCTCGTCCTCTCTCTCTCGCAGCCCGTCTGCCTGCTGCCCGTTCTCCCCGAGCCCCTGCCCGCGGGCTGGGCCCCAGAGCCGCGCGGCACCGCGCACGCGGGGCGGCGGCGCCGTCAACGCCGGCGGCGTGCGCGGCTGGGAGCCGCCGGCCGTGCGGTCCGGTCTGCCGCTCCACGGAGCGGGCCCTCACCGCTCGGGCCCCCCGCCGTGCCCGTCGGCCCGCGCAGGCTGGCGAGGGCACGAGCCAGTCTCGCCAGATCCCGACGTGCGGCGACGCGGCAGAGGTTCAGGAGAGAAAGAAGCACACAGACACAATTCATCGTCGACTCCCAGGAAAATATGGGAAAATATGGGAAGTGGGGGGGAAGACAAAAACCCAGAAAATATGGGTAACTATGGGGGATCCTGCTATTTGTGTGTATTTATTTGTGTGTCCCAGGGCCCCTTCAGAGGTGGGCAGAGAGCTGCGATGTTCTCGCTCCGCCGCTCGACCGCACGTCGCCACGAGTCTGAGCGAGAGGCGGCCAGGCGTGGCAGGCGCAGGCAGAAGCAGGCCGAGAGGCGCCGGCGCCACAGAGACGCGCCTGCATCGGAGAAGCCACACAGTGGAGACCCGTGCCAAGAAACACCCTGCTTAGCTTCAGAGCGTGAATTACCTACCCCGCTTTCGCTTCCAGGCAAAACCAAGTCATACCACGCACCTCCTCGTCAAGCGGCCTGACCATTACAGGCCGTGGTTTGGCATCGCTTGGTATCTCTTGGAAGCGAGGGTGGTCAAAAGCGAGGTAGGTCTGTTTTACCCCTATGCTTGCGTCCAGGGTGCCCTGGGCTTCTTCTTGGCTTTTGCTATGGGCAGCGTGACGTTCCCACACCAGAAATCGGTGGACGTCCTGGGGTCTCAGGGCTGGGTTTCTTGTGGAAGGTTTCTTGTGGTCGGACCCCCACCGTACCCAAGGCGAGGACCAGCCGACGCCAGCTGTGGAGCCCGCACTCGAGCCTAGCCCACCGGCCCAGCGTCCTGGTCATTTCTCATTTGCATTCGGCAATCAGCGTAACGTCTCATAGAACCTCTCCATCCAGTCCCAGATGTGCGTGGGTGAGCGAAGCCGATGTCGCGCCCATGCTTCAGGTCGCCTTCCCGTTTGCATATCAGGAGCTTCGTTAATATTATTGCAAGCAGGTCTGGTAAATTTGGCAGACGTACGTGTCGCTCAGAGGCACGCTGACGCAATGCCACAGTCGAGTCAAACAGCCGCCTCCTCACTCCTCCTATCTCCTCCTCGCACCTCTCCCCCTCCTCGTCCCCGATCCCCCCCCCTCCGAAGGTCGCTGCTCATCGGCGTCATGTCGACGCTGCCTGACCGGGAGAGGCACTGGCGTACCGCTGCAAGGGGGTGCATTCGGCTCGTCGCCCCACCTTGCCGCGACGGTCCGCCAACTCGTCCATGTATACGATCGTTTGACCGAAACGATCGTCGCGATCTGTACCCAGTTGTGTAGCGCACTTGCTTGCGCCGTTGTTTCCTGAATCGGTCCGCAGGCTGTCGGCATTTATGCATTACTCGAAACGCGCATTCTTGCCTCTTGCCGCCATTTCAGGTGCCCCATTCCTTGCGGCCACTTGCCCACCCCAGTCTTACCAGAGTCTCCAATCGGGCCCGCCTGTAACAGACTTGCTTTGGCAATGTATCTCCCTCTCCAAGCGCTTCACCCCCTCCCTCCCTTTCGCGTTGGCTGGCTCAATCTCCCCTCATCGTGTACACTGACGGGAAGTTTACACTCAGTGCCACCCTTGGCCATTTCACCCGCGCTGTTGCGGGGAAGTGCCTTGAACCTTTCTCTTCGCTGTGCCGATCCGCCTTCTTGCTGCTTCGTTGTTTTTCTCTCTCGCTGTCGCCGCGGGCTTCCTGCCATCCTCCCCCCTCTCTCGCATTCTCTTTTTTATAGTTGTTCCTCTCTCTCTCTCAAAAGGGCAGCGTTGGGGGAGGATAGCCTCAGGGGGGGATGCATCGGCCCCCCAGTCGCCCACGGATCGCGGATGTGGGGCTCGATAGCCCAGCCCGTCCAGGCACGTGCAGAGTCGCTGCAATATCGGGGACTTGCCGCCGACTTCCCGGCGACGTGTCGTCGCTTCCAGGTCGATGCCGTCCCCCCTGAGCTGGTCGTTTGCTCGCTTCGGGGCATGACTTGGGTCTCCAGCGACCGTTCGGGACGACCCGGGAACCTTTGGAACGCTCTAGGTGAGGCGGAAAGTCAGAACCGTCCGAAAATTTTTGACTTTGAGTAGCGTTTTTCTCACACTGTCTCTCTCTCTCTCTGTCTCTCTTTCTCTCTCTCTCTCTCTTTCTTTTTCTTTCTCTTTCTCTTTCTCTGTCTCTCCCTCTCTCTCTCTATCAGCACTTTTTCTCTCACTCGCTACATTAAATAATGACTTGATATGAATTCTACGGTCCTCTCTTCCCACCTACCGCTACCCTGTGGGCGACGTTTCGCTGGTATCAGGTCGGTGCTTCCCCCCCTAGGCCGCTCCCCCTGACGTTGTCAGACACTCCTCTCTCGCTATCTTCAACAATCACCCGCTAGAAGTGCCACGCTCCTCCTTCCCCTGGCAAGGTGCCAGCGCGTTTCTGCCACTCTCTCGCGTATGGCGTTGCTCACGCACTCAGGATTTCACACCCTGATAGTTTACATGCTGCATTTCCGCCCCGATCGAGTCCTTCGCCTCCTCCCTCCTCCCTCCCCTCCTCCCTCCACCGCCTCTCCCCGCACCCTCACCCCAGCGTCCCCTCCTCCCTCCTCCCTCCTCCGTCTCTCCTGCCCCGCCTCCCCCTCCTCTTCCCCACTGCTCCCGCTCCGCCCCTCCCCCTCTTGCCCGGGAGAAGCCTCCGAGCAGGGGCGGCCCAGGCGGGTCCGTTCTGGGGGCGGCGGTGCCCCTGCAGGCTGCTGGAGGGCCCCGGGGCAGCTCTCCGGGGCGTCCAGTAGGGGCCGGGGGTCTGCGCTTCGCTGGCCCCGTGTCGCTGCGTTTGGCTCCGCCGCACGGAATCTGGTCGCCGCGCTTCTGCGTGTGTGTGTGTGTGTGTGTGTGTGTGTCTGGGGCTGTTAATTTAAAGCTGAGCGCGGCCCGCTCAGCTTCGACCGGAAGAGGCTCGCTCTCGACCCGCGGATCACCAAAAAGTGTGTCTGGGGCTTCCCGGTGCGGGGGTCGGGCCGGGGGGGAAGGGCTCGGAGGGCGGGCTCCTCGCCCCCCCCCCCCCCCCTCTCGCTCTCCCCGCAGGCAGGGCCGCGTCCCGCAGCCGAGCTGGGGGGGGGGGCAGTCGTGCGGCACCCCGGGGAGGGCCTCTGCTGGTCTTCCCGAGCGCCTCGCAGTTGCGCCGGACGGCGGTGGCCCCGGGGTCGGCGCGGACGGGCGGGGCCCCAGCGGTGGTGAGCGGGCGCTCTCCCGCTGCGCGTGCCCCTTCCGCGTTTCTTGATGAGCCGCTGGGCCCCCCCCCCGGGGGGTTCGCTTCGTCCACCTCGCCCCAGGACGGGGCCCCAGCTGCAGCTCTCTCCTGCTCTGGGGTTCTCGCACCCAGGTGCAGGAGGTGCAGTGGGGGCCCATGCGAAGAAACACCCTGCTTGCCTCCAGGGTGCTCTTCTTGGTTTTCGATGGTTTTGCCATGGGAAGTGTGACTTCCCCAGACAAAGAATCAATGGACGTCCTGGGGTCTCTGGGTTGGGTTCTTGTGGGAGGTTTCTTGTGGACGGGCCTCCACTGTAGTCCCCACTGGCCTTCCTGTGGTCAGGGTGGGAGGAGGCAGATTCCCCAAGGGGCCGATCCCCCCCCCCACAGGCCCTTTGGCCCCTCTTTGAACTCTTGGGTCTCTCTTGGAGCCATACTGAGGCCTCCATAACCGATCGGAAGAGAAACGGCGATAGTGCGACACATGTTGATTGCTAAGGCCTTGTGGCCGGTGCAGCCGACCCTGGAGGCCTCGGCCTTCGACGCTCTCCCGACACCCCCCGACCACCCCCCGAGATCCCCCCCCCGGGACCCCCCCAGACCCCCCCCCCTCCGCGCAGAAGGGATCACATAGAAGGGGCTTCCCTTCGACTCAGTGACAGCGTTGCTGAATTTGGCTATGGATGGGCTGGTGTGTTTCGCCTTGGCTGGCGTGCTTGAGGACGAGGGCCCAAGGAAAGGGGGGAGCGGCGACGGACTCAGGGGAAGGAGGGGACGTGATGGCGGCGGTGACGATAATGCGACACATGTTGATTTTCCTTGAGTTATGGAAGGGCTGGTTTGGCGTCTCGGAGGACTCTTTGGGAGCTCCGTGGCTGCTTCGAGCCGCTTTGGAGCGTTATTGAAGGCTCTTGCAGGCATGTTGGAGAATGTCTTGAACCATCCTGGGGTATCTTCAGCGATTGTGGAGACCATCTTGGGCCATCCGGGACCTTGGTCGCGTCATCTTGAGCCATATTGGACGCTCCACCACCTCGCGCAACGCCCCCAACAGACCCAGAGGGAGGGGGAGGGGGAAACCCCTCCACGAAGAGAAAGAGGGGGTCAGCATAACAAGCTCGCTGGACCGCACTTCCAAAGACCCTTGGTGGGATGAAGGCTATGCTGTCCTCCAGTATCCATCAAGTTGTCGTCCTTATCTCCCCTCACCCTCTTTACGATCCTCTCGCCCCTCCTCCCACTCTCTCCATCTTCCCACTCCCCTCCCTCCCCTCCCCTCCCTCCTGCATCGTACGACCCTCTGCCGCATCTCCCCCCCCGCTCCCCTCCCCTCTCCACCCTGGCTCCTCTCGTCCTTCCCCGCGTGGCCGCTTCCGCGTCGTCCTCGTGGCCTGCGTCCTGGTCGCCGTCTTCCGTGGTCAGCGACCCTTCGTCGTGGTCGGCGCCGTCGTCGTCGTGGCCGTCGTGGCGCTGTCGCCGCGGCCGTCGCCGTCGGCGCCGCCGCCGCAGGCGGACGGCCATGCGCGAGACCTGGGTCGGCGAGGCCCGCCGCCTCCGCCCGAGCCTCGTGGCGGTGCGCTTCGTGCTGGGCCGCCCGGGCTCGGCGGCGCAGCGCGGGGAGATCGAGCAGGACGGCCCCGCCGCGCGCCGGAGGGCGATCGGCCACGCGCAGACGGGGGCAGTTTTGAGAGAGGCCCTGTCCCCCTACAGGAGGGGTAATCAAAAGAATGGTCCACAAATGATGTGGGGAGGATCTCTTTTGGAACGCGTTTGGTTTTTTGGGGGGGCAGTTTTTTTTGTGAGTTTTTGCCCAGCCGTCCTGTGGTTTTGGGGGGTCCTCGCTTTGAAGAGACGGCGCCCCGCGTCGCTTCCTCCTCCTCACTCCTCCTCCCCTTCCTCCTCCTCCTCCTCCTCCTCCTCCCCCTCCTCCTCCTCCGCGACATACTGGTGATGTGCCAGGAATGGAGTCGGGGGGAACCTAAGTTGTTTTGGCGCAGCCGCATGCGGGGACCGCCACCCATTTTGGCACACGCCTCGCACGGTTCGTGGCCCCATAGGGTGCTCCACCGAAGGCCCCAGTGGCACAGGCCGCATGCGGGGACCGCCACCCATTTTGGCACACCCCTCACACGGTTTGTGGCCCCACAGGGGGCTCCACCGAAGGCCCCAGTGGCACAGGCCGCAGGCGGGGGCCGCCGCCCGTTTTGGCACATTCCTCGCACGGTTCGTGGCCCCACAGGGAGTTCCACCGAAGGCCCCAGTGGCACAGACCGCATGCGGGGACCGCCACACCCATTTTGGTACACCCATCGCACGGTTCGTGGCCCCACAGGGGGCTCCACCGAAGGCCCCAGTGGCACAGGCCGCATGCGGGGACCGCCACCCATTTTGGCACACCCTTCGCACGGTTCGTGGCCCCACAGGGAGCTCCAGCGAAGGCCCCAGTTGCACAGGCCGCATGCGGGGACCGCCACCCATTTTGGCACACCCATCACACGGTTCGTGGCCCCACAGGGAGTTCCAGCGAAGGCCCCAGTGGCACAGGCCGCAGGCGGGGACCGCCACCCGTTTTGGTACACCCATCACACGGTTCGTGCTCCCACAGGGAGCTCCACCGAAGGCCTAGTGGCACAGGCCGCATGCGGGGGCCGCCGCCCATTTTGGCATTCCCTTCGCACGGTTCGTGGCCCCACAGGGAGCTTCAGCGAAGGCCTCAGTGGCACAGGCCGCATGCGGGGACCGCCACCCATTTTGGCACACCCCTCACACGGTTCGTGGCCCCACAGGGAGCTTCACCGAATGCATTGTAAGGAGCTTCCTTTTCTTCTCCCCAGCTGACCTGCGGTATTCACACTTGCATATGGTTGGATCATTCGCCAGTTTCCTCTAATTATATTATTTATGAATTTATGTATTGTATATATAATCATGCATGACTTATATCTATATATATATATATATATATTACCTAACAGCGAAGACTGATAGGTTTCTAGTGGTCTTAAAAAAGAGCAGCAGATGACTCCACAGGGGGGTCTGGGCGGGTGCCGGACAGGGTGCCGCAGAAGTCGTTTTAAGCCAACAGTCACACACTTCGTGCTCTTCGACCTCCCAGAACTCCATTCCCGGGCCACATTCTGAATGCCCGGAGCCAACTGTAGGCCACTTCGTGCTCTTCGACTTCCCAGAACTCCATTCCCGGGCCACATTTTGAATGCCCGGAGCCAACTGTAGGCCACTTCGTGGTCTTCGAGTTCCCAGAACTCCATTCCCGGGCCACATTTTGAATGCCCGGAGCCAACTGTAGGCCACTTCGTGCTCTTCGAGTTCCCAGAACTCCATTCCCGGGCCACATTTTGAATGCCCGGAGCCAACTGTAGGCCACTTCGTGCTCTTCGAGTTCCCAGAACTCCATTCCCGGGCCACGAATGCCCGTAGCCAACTGAGGCTGAGGCAGGCTGCTGCTGAGGCAGGCTGAGGCTGAGGCTGAGGCAGGCTGAGGCTGAGGCAGGCTGAGGCTGAGGCTGAGGTTGAGGCTGAGGCTGAGGCTGAGGCAGGCTGAGGCAGAGCAAGGCTGATGCTGAGGCAGGCTGAGGCTGAGGCTGAGGCTGATGCAGGCTGAGGCTGAGGCTGAGGAAAAGGTTGAGGCTGAGGCTAAGGTTGAGGCTGAAGCTGAAGCAGGCTGAGGCTGAGGCTGAGGCAGGCTGAGGCTGAGGCTTAGGCAAGCTGATACTGAAGCAGACTGAGGCTGAGGCTGAGGCAGGCTGAGGCTGAGGCAGGCTGAGGCAGGCTGAGGCTGAGGCTGAGGCTGAGGCAGGCTGAGGCTGAGGCTGGCTGAGGCAGGCTGAGGCTGAGGCTGAGGCAGGGTGGCTGAGGCTGAGGAGGCTGAGGCAGGCTGAGGCTGAGGCTGATGCAGGCTGAGGCTGAGGAGGCTGAGGCTGAGGCTGAGGCTGTGGCTGTGGCTGAGGCTGAGGCTGAGGCAGGCTGAGGCAGGCTGAGGAGGCTGAGGCTGAAGGCTGAGGCTGAAGGCTGAGGCTGAGGCTGAGGCAGCTGAGGCTGAGGCTGAGGCTGAGGCAGGCTGATGCTGAGGCTGAGGCAGGCTGATGCTGAGGAAAGGCTGAGGCTGAGGCTGAGGCAGGCTGAGGCTGAGGCTGAGGCAGGCTGCGGAGGCAGGCTGAGGCTGAGGCTGAGGCTGAGGCTGAGGCTGATGCAGGCTGAGGCTGAGGCAGGCTGAGGCTGAGGCCGAGGCTGAAGGCAGACTGAGGCTGAGGCTGAAGCAGGCTGAGGCTGAGGCTGAGGCAGGCTGAGGCTGAGGTGAGGCAGGCTGATACTGAGGCAGGCTGAGGCTGTGACTGTGACTGCCGTTGCCACTGCGACTGTCATCGCGAATGCGACTGCGACTGCGAGAACAGGAGAATTCTACAACTGGATTCTCATCTGGATCTTAAGGGGAATGTTTCCATATATGCTTCTACACATCGCTGTTAGGTTGCTTTGCCGGGATAATTCCTTTTTACCTAACAGCGAAGACTGATAGGTTTCTAGTAGTCTTCAAAAGAGAGCAGCAGATGACTCCACAGGGGGTCTGGGCGGGTGCCGGACAGGGTGCCGCAGAAGTCGTTTTAAGCAAACAGTCACACACTTCGTGCTCTTCGACCTCCCAGAACTCCATTCCCGGGCCACATTCTGAATGCCCGGAGCCAACTGTAGGCCACTTCGTGCTCTTCGACTTCCCAGAACTCCATTCCCGGGCCACATTTTGAATGCCCGGAGCCAACTGTAGGCCACTTCGTGGTCTTCGAGTCCCAGAACTCCATTCCCGGGCCACATTTTGAATGCCCGGAGCCAACTGTAGGCCACTTCGTGCTCTTCGAGTTCCCAGAACTCCATTCCCGGGCCACATTTTGAATGCCCGGAGCCAACTGTAGGCCACTTCGTGCTCTTCGAGTTCCCAGAACTCCATTCCCGGGCCACATTTTGAATGCCCGGAGCCAACTGTAGGCACTTCGTGCTCTTCGACTTCCCAGAACTCCTTTCCTGGGCCACATTTTGAATGCTGAGGCAGGCTGAGGCTGAGGCGAGGCAGGCTGAGGCTGAGGCTGAGGCCGAGGCTGAAGGCAGACTGAGGCTGAGGCTGAAGCAGGCTGAGGCTGAGGCTGAGGCAGGCTGAGGCTGAGGCTGAGGCAGGCTGATGCTGAGGCAGGCAGGCTGAGGCTGAGGCTGAGGCTGATGCAGGCTGAGGCTGAGGCAGGCTGAGGCTGAGGCCGAGGCTGAAGGCAGACTGAGGCTGAGGCTGAAGCAGGCTGAGGCTGAGGCAGGCTGAGGCTGAGGCTGAGGCAGGCTGAGGCTGAGGCTGTGACTGCGACTGCCGTTGCCGCTGCGACTGTCATCGCGAATGCGACTACGACTGCGAGAACAGCAGAATTCTACAACTGGATTTTCATCTGAATCTTAAGGGGAATGCTTTCAGATATGCTTCTACACATCGCTGTTAGGTTGCTTTGCCGGGATAATTATGTAGGAACACACCATATTTGTTTTTGATATTATTTTTCGTCCAAGCTCCGCCTGTAGGGGGACGCGCCCGACCTAAGTGTAGTTTACAGTTGGGGCCCATGCCAAGAAACACCCTGCTTGCCTCCAGGGTGCCCTGGGTTTCTTGGGTTTCGATTGTTCTGCCATGGGAAGCGTGACGCTCCCGCACCAAAAATCAATGAACGTCTTGGGGTCTTAGGGTTAGGTGTCTTGTGGATGGTTTCTTGTGGACTGGCCCCCACTGTAGGGGGAGGGGGGAAACGCTTTCCAGATAAGGGCTGCTTCTTAGACGGCGTGGCCCCTGCGCCTTCTAAGAGGCAGCCTCCTTCTGAGAAGCCTTCCCCCCTCCCCGTACCCCCCTGTGCGCGCCGCCAGAGGAAGAGGAGGCGAAGCCAGTACAGTCGACCCGCATAGTGAGGATGAGTAACTTTCCAAGCTTACCCTTGCATCGCTCCCCTTTGGCCTATCCTTGGCCGCTTTCGCTGGCCCCCCCCCGCTCGCAAAGTGTCGACATGGCCGTCCAAAGCCCTTGCATCCTTACTGTGCGTTTTTGATCATAAGAGTTGATTGTAGACCCTTCCCAGAGATGCTCGCGCGGTGCAAGCAAAATCACGACGAGAGGCTTCACTTTGCTGTTCTCGGCCTCTGGGGGCCCTCGCCTGGGGCCGTCCATAGAAAGGGCTCGAGATGGAAAGCTGCCCCTCCCCCCCTAAAACCAGGGGCGGTGGGTCCGGACCCCACCCCCGCTCTGGGAAGATGAGAGGGGGGGTCTAGAACCCCGCACCCTCTGGGAAACATAGTTAGTGTGGGGGGTCCAGACCACCCCCATCCGTGCAAACGAGAGAGGGGGTCTGGAACCTCCTGTCCCCACCCCTGGGAAAATCATTGGGAGGGTGCCCGGCTCCCGACGACGACGAAGACGACGACGCAGGCGCACGACGAACGACGCACGACGCACGACGCACGACGCACGACGCACGACGCACGAAGAAGACGACGACGATGCCGGCGCCTGCGCCGATGACGATGCCGACAACGACGACGACGCCGACGATAACGCCGACAACGACGACGACGACGGCGACGACGACGACGACTGCGAAGACGACGACCGCGACGACGACGACGGCGAAGACGACGACGGCGACGGCGACGGCGACGACGACGACGACAACCACGGCGACGACGACGACGACGGCGAAGACGACTATGACGACAACGACGACGACCACGACGACGACGCAGACGCACGACGACGCCGAGGACGACCCCGACGCCGACGACGACGACGACGACGACGACGACGACGACGACGACGACGACGACGACGACGACGACTCGCGACGCATGACGACCACATCGCCGACGCCGACGCCGACGGCGACTGACGACGGCCACGGCGAACGAGCACGCCGACGTCGCCGTTGCGGGTGACGGCGTGCGGCGTCCTCGGCCGCACGCCGCGCGCGCGGCACGCGCCTGGCCCGCGTGCGGCCGCTGGCCGCGGCGACGCCGAGATGGAGCTCGGGGCCACGGCACCGCGTGACGCGGGGGGGGGATTCAAGGTTGACCTTACAGTGCCGTTTTTAAGACATGCTCCGCGTGCGGATCATGTAGTAAGAATGCAGGGATTTAGCATTAAACAACAACGATGAGTTCATGTATACATTCATTCATAAATTAATATGTATTACAAATATTAGATTTAAAGAAAATCCTATGTGTTAAAGACTGCCCTGTATGATGATCCAACCAACAGTGGGGAGGCCCATGCCAAGAAACACCCTGCTCGCCTCCAGGGTGCCCTGGGTTTCTTGGGTCTCGATGGTTTGGCGACGGCGAGCGTGACGAGCGTGACGTTCCCACACCAAGAATCAATGGACGTCCTGGAGTCTCAGGGTTGGGTTTCTTGTGGAAGGTTTCTTGTGGACTGGCCTCCACTGAATGATGATTCAATCTACTTTCGGGACGATCGAAATGGGTACGCAAAGGTGGGGTACGGTGCTCAACAGCTGCCCCTTCTCATTTTGAAAAGGACTCGCTGTCCGCGCCGCAGCGGACGTTGTTCACTGACGACAATGAGCAGCCCGCCCAACAGCGGCCGCTGTCGGTTTTGGACAAAATTTGTTGTTGGGCATTGTGCCCATTTTCTCCGTACCCGTTTTGGGCGTCCAAATTCTTTAGTCTTGATCGGCAGAATTTCGAGCATCAGGAACGTACTGAAACGGGAGGGTTTTCACGTGTCGGGCCTTGGGAGGCGATTTTCGTTCGACACCGTTTCGATACCGCTCGGTGTGCGAAATTCTCCCTGTGACTTGGTCCTTGACTGCGATGGGAGCAACATAAGGCTGACCCTGAACATCCCGCCATCGGGCCTCTCAGGAGCGTCGCCCTTGCCGCTCCCTTTCGTGGCCAGCTTCCGCTCTCAGACGTCTGACTGGCAAGCTGCCGGGCCCAGGGAAGGCCCACCACGAAACCGACGCAGGTGAACACCTGCCCCTCAGCGTGCCCCCCCGCCCCCCCCGCCCCGTCGTAGGAGAATGCCACCCACGGCGACCTCGTCGTGCTGCCCTGCGTCGAGAACCAGCACAGGGGCAAGACCCCGCTGTGGATACAGCACGCCCGCGACAACTTTGCCCAGGAGTTCGGGTACGTTGCCAAGATGGATCAGGACATGCATTCCAGCATCTGAACAGGGTTTCACAACATGCAAATGTTGTTGTATATGCGCAAAATTGTTACACATGTTATATATGTATATATATATATATATATATGCACATGCATCTAACGTTGTATCAGCCTTGGGTCTGGGCGTTTTTTTTTCTGGTACGTGCTCAGGTCCAGAATCGGTCCGCGGCCCACTTGCCCGCCTCCGTGTTCCAAACAATCATGAGGTGTTGGGCCCTCGTTTTGAATCAGAAGCGCCCCGCGTCCCTGCCTCTTTCTTCTTACTCCTCCCTCCCCATCGCCATCGGCATCACCACTCACGAGCCACCCAGGAGCAGCACGCGGAAGCCTCATGCACAGCAACAGCGAACATCGGCAACCCGCAACAAGCAGCGCAGGCACACTGACAACGGAAGCAGCAGCACCAACATCATGCCGCCGGCAGCAGCACCTTGCAGGTCTACGGTAGCTTCGTGTCGTGTCGACCGGCGGCGACCCCGCCAGCGGCGTTCAAATTTGAACGCCGCGGGCGACCCAGAATCGTTCGGTGTGGAACGATTTGGACGTTTCGGAAACGGCCGATCGTTCAAGGTTGAACGATCCCCGCGGTGTCAGGAACCAACGCCGAAGTCGGCACGACATGAACCTGCCGTAGGCAGGAACAGCAGATGGGGTTCGGGTCCAAGGTCACCACAGAAGCCTTTCAGCGGCATCTCTGCCCTGGCCCAGCGTGCCATCTCGGACACATTTCGTGACCGTCAGGGCACCGGTCAGTTCTAGCCAGCTACAGCGCAGGGATAAGCGCGTGCGCGAAGTGCGATCAGTGGCAGCGGCCCTTGTCTCCGCTTGGTGAGACGTGGGAGGCAATGTTCGAGCCCAATGTCATCAGCTACAGTGCTGCGATCTACGCGTGCGAGACAGCCAGTTAGTGGCAGCAGACTCTGTCGCTTCTGAGTGGAATGTGGGAAGCGAAGATATGGCTCGATCTCTTCATCTGCAACCCTCGAATCAGTGCGTGCGAGAATTATGGGCTGAGGTAGCGGGCATTGTCGCTCCTGAGCGAGATGAGGGAGGCGAAGGTTGAGCCCGACATTGTCAGCTGTAGCGCTGAAACCAGTGCTTGCGAGAAATGTGGACAGCGGCAGCATGTGCTGTTGCTGCTGAACGAGACTCAGACTGTGCAGATGGAGTCCGACGTCACCAGCTGCAGCTTGGGGGTCAGCGCGCGCCAGAACGGAATACATCAGCGGAATCCAGCTTCAGCTTGGGGGTCAGCGCGCGCCAGAACGGAATACATCAGCGGAATCATACCTCGTCGCCTAGCGGGACGCAGGAAGGTGGACCGCGACGCCATAACCTCCCAGCGGAGGGCGAGAACAGATACGTAGGAGGAGGAAGAGGAGGAGGGGCGAGCGAGCGAGCGAGCAGAAGCCGAGAGGCGAGAGGTACGGGGCCGACAGCGGCCCGAGGGGCTCGACGGCACCACCTTATCCCCCGCTCAGACCACTGCCCAGGGGACCCGAAGTCGTCCTTGGGTGGTAGCCCGAGCAGGGGGGGGGACCGTCACACCCCCAGCAGCGGCACGGCGCCACGTAGGCGCCGACGGAGGCACGGGGCCCGCGCCAGGCCCGTGCTCACATGCATGTCCCCGAAGAGCGGGGCCCGCAGGATGGGGACGGTCCCCAGCAGCGGCACAAGGGGGGCCGACAACGAGGGGACGCAGCGCGAGCTGGGCGTTGCCGAAGCGCTGCGCACCCAGGGCCGTCACCACTGAGCTGGCCCGCAGCAGCCGGTGGCTCACGACGACGGCGCTCGAGCCGCACCGTGGCGAAACGAGGTTATTGGCGACGTGAAATTGCCCGAAGCAGGATCTGAAAGCTGAACGAATTCAGTAGAGCATCTGTACCAGCGGGGGTCAAACACCACGAACCACTGGTAGAAGACAGGACGCTCATACCATACCCAGGTCATCTTCATCATCGCTTCCATCATCTCGAGGAGCTCCCAACTCCAAGCACTCTGGGTAAGTTAGGCCACGGTCCGCCAGGATACACGCTGTGTCGAGATATCTCGGCGGTTCGGGTCCGATCTTCCCTTTGGGGCGACTGATGAACACGTCCTCTCTCATTGGGTCCTGCCAACCCTTGGATTTGCACAAGCTCCTTCTCACAACTTCAGATGGCCTGCGCGCATGAAGAAGCCGAGCCCGCTTGTGCAGGCTCTGCGGGTGCCTGATGTACTGGAAATGGCCCGTGTTCTCGTGCGCTCTGCCGCTGCCTCCCATACGGCCACAGAATCGGAAATCTAGACCACGATGATTGTGCTACCCGTGCCCGAGTACTTTCAACAATTTGTGCAGAGAGCGGGCGAGCGTGTCTGACCGTTAGCAGGATACTCCAGCAGTGCATGCCCCTGAACCAACCATGGCCAAAGGAGAAGCGCCTCCCTGGCTGCTGCATCCTGCACAGGAGACACCACTGCATCCTCCTCAACTTCAGGAATATGTAATCACGAAGCTCCTCCTCCTCCTCCTCCTCCTCCCCATACATCCACACCTCGAACTGGGCGATATATGTGAGCAGCATCTTGCGTAGGCGGCGAGCTCCTCGGACAAACCTTTCCTGGCCGTCACTAGTAGCATAGAATCTCGCCCCCGCCTTCGCCAGGTCATCAACCTCATCGTTGGAGCTACGATCAATTATGATGTTTCCCTGACTTCGGCCATGGACGCGCGCGCTTTCACGTGGCTGAAGGTAGCACGGCCGAAGTCATCATTCAGGACAGTTCTCTTCCACATGCTGGCCCGAAAGTTGCCTACCCCACAAGCCGATCGGAGCCTGCGGCAACGGCCCACCGAGCCCTTGCAATCAGACTTGACATGATACGAGCCGAGCACCGACTGCGCCGTCACCATCAGCACGTAGTCTTCCCCAACTCGGGCAACTCGGCTGGGCCCTTCAGCACGAGGGGCTGCGCCGTGATACCGAGCGGCACGCTGCCTCTCCGCGTTGCGGACACCGCCCAGCCCGCCGCCCGCAACTCTGGCACCAGCTGGACGCTTTTTCCCAAGATCCTGCAAGGCCAACAGCCTGTCCCCCTTGGCCATCGCGCCCCTGATCCGACTTAGTGACGCACCTACCCTCCTGTAGCGCCCGTCACGAGCATCTCCCCCCAGGTCTCGATGAAACTGACCTCGTCCAGAGAAAGGGGTACTCGCGGGCCATGAATCGCCACCTCGTCCTCGGTCGCACTGAAAGTCTCCGCGCCGTCGCAGAGGAAGCCCATCTTGCCCAGAGAAAGCGGCGCACCTCTGGCTTGGAGCATGCTTGCGACCTCCTCGAACGCCCAATAGAGCTCCCTCGAGGCCACGCTGGGGCCTCCGACGCAGTGCAGACTCACGTCGTCGATCAGGTGTTTGATGCGGAGCGAGCGGCAGCTTGCCCCGACATGCCGAAGGACCGTCACCGTCATTAGCTCCGCGAGCCCAGTGGCGCATGGGCACCCTGCGACGATCGTCCCGTTGGCGAAAATCAAGTCCGAGAATGAAATCTGGCTTCAGGGGCTTCACATCATGAGCCCGCGCCGATTTATCGCGCGCAGTCTCAGACGAGGCCCCCCAAAAGACGCTGTCTGGCAGGGCCGCTTCCCAGCTAGCAACTACCTGGTGCCTGAGACGGGGCCAGATGCGTGCAAAGAGTGGGGGCAAGCCTATAGGACGGACTCCGCTTGTGACCTTAGGAAGGGGCGCGATTCAGGTCGCCCAGACGTCGGTGAGCTCGGGTCTATCTTCCCACGACAGGAGGAGACGCGCGAGGGTAGACGCGAGGATCGAGGGTAGTTTCTCCGCCCCCCGAGGATGGAATCAATCCCAGCCGCCTGCGGTGCTGCCTTTGAATGAGCTGAGCGCTGCCTTCGCGTCATTGTCCGTGAACCGAGGCAGCGGCTCAGCTGAACCGACATCGCATTCGAGCGGATGGGCCTCAGCGGCTCTGACTGGGACGATCCAGAGTTTCGTCCAATCCGTCGGCATCGCCTGCAGAGCTTCATGCCCGACAGCGGGGGGGCCCTGGGAAAGGTCAGCGACCGTGGCCCCTTTAGGGCCCTTCGAAAAGCGGTGGGCCAAGCAGGCCCCACTGGCGAAAGCCAGCTCAGAATGCTCCTTCCAGCTTTGCTTGGCGGAGGCCGCATCAGCGGCCGTGCACGACAGCACCTGATCTTGCAACCATTACAGACCTGAGGCCTCCTGACTGGGTCCCTGAGGCCTGCTAAAACATCATCCGAAAGCGACTTGATAGAAAACCATCCTCGCTCGCCCAGTTGATGCCCTCGCAGATCCCCGCGTAGTCAGTGAGCATTCGCACTGCGCTGGACTGTTGGGCAAGCTGAGGCTCGGAATCTTTGCCCTCAGCTCGCAGCCGCTGCATAGTTAGGCGACGCGCAGGGAGCCACTTCTGGGTGGAGGGGCTGGCCTTCTCCTGAGACTCTTGCCCCGCTCGCATGCCAGAGGAACCTTTTCAAGCCTGCGCCCAGCAGCGCGCCCGCAGTATCTGGGCCGCTCGGCGACGGGAACGGCCGGATAGAGACTCAGGTAAAGCTCGGCCGAGGATAACCACCGACGCGAAAGACTATCGAGCGATTCGTTTTCTCCCGCGTCAGAACCTGGCCAGAGCGAACCGTCACCGGGCACAAGTGCTTGTCATTTCGAGGGCAGCAAAACATGATTTTTGCTGAATTCGGCGGTGGATTTCGTGAGCACCCCCAGGCCCGCTTAATCGCACAACTACGGCCCTATGGGGACCCACAGGGGTATATTCTAACATGCCCACATATTTCACAAGTGGGATTAGGACATCACCGAGGATAAAGTGGTCGTAATTCGAGTCGTTGCAGGTTGGTTTGCTGCGGTGTACAAACACAGCATGCAGGAAACTTAAAAACCCTGCGCTGAGAAACGTGTCACGACCGAAACATTATTATTCAATGTTCCAGTCTCCCGCCACGACAAATTGGAGGCAGGACTCGCGCAGCACCTGGATCAGCGAGGCCGAGAGGTCGAGGTTGCCCGACTGCCCGACGCTGGTGATGCCGTAGAAGGGAGCGAACAATATCTGCATGTTGCCGATCATGACCCACTGAAAGAACATCCTGGACTTCGCGTGCTCCCACTTGGGCTCGGAGGGGACGCTGGCTAGATGACTGAGGCTGGCAATGCCAACCTCGCAGCATGTCGAGGTGGCCGTCGCCCCCTGTGACCGCGCAGCTTCTGGGTAGAAAGCGAAAACCTCTCGCGCGAGCCCAGCTCTGGGCACTCCTCAGCTGCACCCCTGCACGCAGGCGATGAGCTGTAAGAAAAAGAGCGCCAGGTTGGAGGCCTTTGTCAAGCACGAGCCACTCCATGAAAGCCTGCACGCATTCCCGTTGTAGGTGGCCAGGATCGGCTCCGTCTGATGCGGCAAACTCTCCGACGGCTCGAAGTCCGCTGCCCACCTCAAGGAGGCGGCAGCACCTTTGGCAGATGTCGAAAGCGGCTGAGACCGCGGCACTGACGACGAATCCCCAAGAGCGCCTGAGGGAACAGTGGCAGAACATGTCGTCGAAACTCCGTCGTCGAAATCTTGCGGCAGGTAGGAACACAGCTCAAGCTCTGGGTAAGCAGGACAGGCTGCACTCTTCGGCGGATAGTGGAGTGTTTATTTCTGGCTTTCTTTCTCTGTCTCTGTCTCGTTCGTTCTCTTTCTGTTCGCCTTCCCCCCTCTCGTCTGTTGTTTTCCTTCTCGCTCTCTCTCGCTCTCTCTCTCTCTCTATCTCGCTTTCTCTCTGTCTCGTTTTCCATCCTGTCTGCCTCTCTACCTCTCTGTTATTTCTAGTTTTTTGTTGTTACTCTTTCTTTCTCTTTCTCTCTCTCTCTCTCTATCTTCCAAATCCATGTGCCCCCGTCGTGTAGCTTCCCTTGCCGTGTTGCATCGTCCTTGGCAGTGTAGTCTTTCTTAAATCTTCTGTGCCAGGACGCTTACGTCTGGCCGACCGAGCTGGCAGACCACCTGATGTTCTTTGCGGAGACCAAGTTCTACGCAGGGGTCCATGGGAGGGTATTCTTTCTTTTCATCTTTGTCCTTATCCGATTCCTGCCCCTTCATCCCCTTTCCCTGCACTTCATCCCTCCCCGACGCTCTCCTATGTCCTTCCCCCCCTTCCCATGCCTCCCTTACCTCACCTTTCCCCCTCATCCTTCCCGCTGTAGTGCGTGATGTGTATTGAATATGTGGTAGCTGTCCGTCTTTTTTGTTGTTTGATGTTTGTTTCTCTCTCTCTCTCTCTCTTTCTCTTGTCTTTCTAAATCTTTATGTTTGTTCAGTCTCTCTCTCTCTCTCTCTTTCTCTCTCTCTATATATATAGATCCCTCTCCAGGCTGGCGTTTGGTCCAAGCGCCCCTGTGACATAGGGTCTAGAAATTGCCCCCCGACCTCAGTCAAATTTGCGCCTGGAGTTCTTTCTTGCACGCCGCTGGCAGGGCTCCTCGCTCCTCTGCCGCTTCCTCCGCGGCCGCGGTGGCAGGCCGCGGCGGCAAGAGGACCAGCAAGGCTTAAGTCCCAGCGCAGTGGAGGCCCATGCCAAGGAACACCCTCCTCCTCCTCCTCCTCCTCCTCCTCCTCCTCCTCCTCGTTCTCGTTATCCTCCTCCTCCTCCTCCTCCTCCTCCTCCTCCTCGTTCTCCTCCTCCTCCTCGTTCTCCTCCTCCTCCTCCTCGTTCTCCTCCTCCTCGTTCTCCTCCTCCTCCTCCTCCTCCTCCTCCTCCTCCTCCTCCTCCTCCTCCTGCTCCTCCCTCCCCTCTCTGGAGGGCGACCGGGGGCGGAGGACGCCCCGCGGGCGACACGAGGCTCGAGGAGCGAGTGGAAACCAATGCCAAGGAACACCCTGCTTGCCTCCAGGGTGCCCTGGGTTTCCTGGGTTTCGATTGTGTTTTGCTGTGGGAAGCGCGGCGCTCCCACGGCAAAAAAACTGGACGTCCTGGGGTCTCGGGGTTGGGCTTCTTGTGGAGGGCTTCCTGTGGTCGGGCCCCCACCTGGTGCACCGACGAGACCAGGGCTCGCCACCACGTGGTGCAGCGGGCGCGGCCGCCGGAGCCCCCCCTCGGCCCTCGAGGGCCCCGCCTGCCGCGGGGGGGGGCCTCGCGCGGCCCTCGCGCGCCCGCCCGACGGCGGCCCGGTCCGCCGAGCGGCCCCCCCCCCGGGCGACCCTGCCGCAGGCGTCGCAGCAGGGCCCGCCCAGGACACCACCGCGGGCGATCCCCAGCCTTCAGTCGGGCACGTCCCTCTACGGGAGGAAGACCCAAACACGGTCTAAGCCCTCGTCCGGAGACGATCTCTCTCTCTCTCTCTCTGTTATCTTTTTTGCCCATGTCTGCACATGTTCTGACCAGTATGCTATTGTTGTCCTCCAGAATCGGCCTGCGGCAGGACCTGCCCGACCTGCCTGACACCAGCAGCGCACCTCGAGCCACCACGCTCCTCCTCCTCCTCCTCCTCCTCCTCCTCCTCCTCCCTTCTCCTCCTCCCTCCTCCTCCTCCTCCTCCTCCTTCTCCTCCTCCTCCTCCTCCTCCTCCTCCTCCTCCTCCTCCTCCTCCTCCTCCTCCAGTCCACGACCGCGAGCGCACGTCCGCGCCGCCGGAACGCTATCGGCGAAGCCGGCCGCCCTCCGCCCCTCTCGGCGCGGCCCTCCGCGCGCGGCGTTCCGCGCGCCCCCTGCGGGCCCACCCGCGGGCCCTGCAGGCCCCGAACCGTTCCAGCAGCGGCGCGCGCCCGCGCGAGGCCCTCCTCCTCCTCCTCCTCCTCCTCCGCCTCCTCCTCCTCCTCCGCCTCCGCCTCCGCCTCCGCCTCCGCCTCCGCCTCCGCCTCCCTCCGCCTCCGCCTCCGCCTCCTCCTCCTCCTCCTCCTCCTCCTCCTCCCTCCTCCTCCTCTTCCTCCTCCTCCTCCTCCCCGCTCGCCGTCGGGCAGTGGGCCGTGGGCAGCGGCCAGGCCGCCAGTCCTGGAGACGGCTGGCCCTGCAACAGGGGAACAAAAGGTGGCATAAGCATAAAATCTCGGAGGTCCGCGCGGATTTTTCGGATCGGCGCTGGACCCTCCTCCCGGGCGCGCGGAGCGCGCCAAGGGCGGCGACAGAGGCGCCGCCGGTTGGGTCCCAGCGCCGATCCGAGAAATCCGCGCGGGCCTCCGAGTTTTTAAGTTTATGCAATTTTTTGTTCCCCTATTGCAGGCCCCGAGCCGTCCCAGCAGCGGCGCGTGCCCGAACGAGGCCCTCCCCGCTCGCCGTCGGACAGCGGGCCGTGGGCAGCGGCCAGGCCGCCAGTCCTGGAGACGGCGGGCTCGGACGCGCGGTGGGCCGCCAGGGGCCCAGGGCTCATGTCGATTCCTATTCGATTCGATTCGACTCGACTTGGCTGGCGTCCGATTTCGATTCGATTCGACTTGGGTCTACACGAACGAAATGGGCACGGAAAGAATGGGTGCAATGCCCTACAGCGGATCTGGTTCATTTTGAACAGGACTCGCTGTCCACGCCGCCGCGGTCTGTGTCCATGCGAGACAGAAGGCCGCCTGCCCAACAGCGGCCGCTGTTGGTTTGGGACAACATTTGTTGTTGGGCATTGTACCCATTCTTTCCGTACCCATTTCGGGCGTCCAAATTGGGATTCCGATTTGCGTTCCGATTTGTTCCTGGAGGCATACTAGCCTGCCGATCTCCGCCGGTTCGACGTTCCGTGGCTCGGCTGCCGATGTCCGCCGATGCGATGCAATTCGATCGCCGATCCGACTTGTCGATTCGATTCTGGGCTCTCCTGGGATCCCGGCAATACACGCCGGTCGTTGAAAGTAGGTATTTCTGGTTTCCCAGATCGCTTCAAGGATCGCCTGTTTTCCTTCTTCCCTCCTCTTCAGGGGGCGGGCGGAAGCCCAATCTACCTCCAATGCCTTCCTACTCCATGTTTCTACCCACTGCTTCCGACCGGCGTGTGCAGTCATCCTTGCCGAAGGCGACACGGCACAACTCTGGCGCTCCGGCCCTGCGTGCGCCCCCCCCGGCGGTTGCCCCCCCCTTCCCACCAGGCGGCCCCGCCCCCAGGAGGGGAGGCGATTCAGGAAAATATGGGAAGCGGGGGGAAGACAAAAACCAAGAAAATATGGGAAAATATTTGGAATATGTTTGTTTGTGTATATTTATTTTTGTGTCTTGGGGCCCCTTCAGCGATTCGCATAGGTGGGCGAGGAGGAGGAGGATGCTGTCGACGTCATCGTGGCCATCATCCGCGGTCTCGACGGCTGGCGCCGTGCCCGCGCGGGGACCCGGCAGCTCCTCGACGGCCGCGTTGCAGCGTCAGCTCACTCGCGCTCCAGCGCGGCCCGACCCTGAGCCTTCGAGTAGGGGATCGACCTTAGTGGGCCCTGGAAACGAAAGGGCCGCTTTTTTACAGGTTCCGTTTTGCCGTTTTTTTCCGGTTCGGACGCCGTTTGTTTGCCGGTTCCGTCGCCGTTCTTTTACGGGTTCCCGCTCCGGTTCCAACCCTGGAGCCGTTTTTGTTGCTGTTTCCTGTCGCCTTTTTTTGCCGTTTCTATTTTCAAGGGACACTTTCTCGGAAACGGTGAAAAAACAGCCCTGCCGTTTCCGGGGCCCACTAAGGGATCGACTGCACAATTGATTTTTACCCCTCGAGTAGTTTCTCGTCGGATCTACGAGACATGCGTAGCATGCTCGCAGATTTGCGGAGCAATCTTCGTACTATGACTCGGCTGAACAGCAGTTTTGGGACAAGTCAATTCTGCTGCAGTCGATCCCCTACTCGAACAAGGCCGTGCTGCAGCGTCAGCTCGCTCGGCTCAGCAGGCTCCCAGCCGTGCCAGAGTGTGATGGACAACTATTCCACCACCACTACCATCTGTAGGACGTTGGAGAAGGGACCTATGGCAGTGGTGTTGGAAAATGGGCCCATCGGAGTGCGCCTCAGCGCGGCCCGAACCCTCGCCTGGGCCCAAGACGTCCATTGGTTTCGCTTTCCCAGACCTTCCACGGGTGCTGGCTGCTCCGCCAATGTTGTCTCACTGGGCTGGACCGAAACGCTGTTTTTTGCTGGATTTCGGGCGTGCTTTGTTTTTCGTTTTTGCCAGGGAGTTAACAGGACAACAGGTCGAGCAACACGACAAACAGGAGGACACCAGAACGAAGACAACACAAAACGAAGACAAAACGAAGACAAACCAAAACGAAGAAAACACGACAAAACGAACGCAAACTAAACACAAAACGAAAACAACACGAAAAACAACGTGGAGGCCCAGCCCTGATGCCGAACCCCGACCCCGGCAACTTCGGGCCCACCTGGCGACCTTCGCTCGCCCCGGCGCGCGCCAGCCAAGCACAGAAGCATGCGCCTAGCATCCACAGGGCTGGTCCCTGGCGCTGCGGTGAAGTCGGGCATGTCTCTCCACAGGAGGAATATAGTCAAACAGTTGGATGACGATGTTTTTTTTGTTGCTGTTTTTTTATTGTTTTTGTTACAATTTTTTCAAATGACAAATCGTCCAAATACCCCTGCAGGGGGACATGCCCGACCTAACGCTGCGGGCCCCGCGCTGTTTTTTGAAGGGCCAGGCTCCGAGCACCCGTCTGGGAGGCATCGAGGCGGGAGCGATGCCATCCCGGGGGGGGGGGGGCCGCTTCGTAGCGCCGAGGCGAGGGCGCCCCCCTGAGAGCGGCTCGGAGCCGAAGAAGGAAAGACGGCATAGACAGAGATTGTTGGCGCTCCGCGCGGACTTCTATCCCGAATTCCTCCTCCCCGTCCTCCTTCGCTCCCCCGCTCCTCCTCCTCCTCCTCCTCCTCCTCCTCCTCCTCCTTCTCCTTCCTCCTCCTTCCTCCTCCTCGCCCTCCTCCCCTCCTCCTCTTCGCCCTCCCTCCTCCTCTTCCTCCTCCTCCTCCACCTCCTCCTCCTCCTCCTCCTCCTCCCTCTTCCCCTCCTCCTCCTCCTCCTCCTCCTCCTCCTCCTCCTCCTCCTCCTCCGCCCCTGCTCTCTCTTTCGGTCGGCTCGCGCGGGGCCCAGGCCCCCCGCCCCCGAGGTCGCGGTGGACATCTACCTCACGCAGCTCGGAACGCGGGGGGGGGGGGGCGGGGCCCTGGGAGCGGGCCCACAGCGACGCGATGAGACGAGCTTCGAGCCGCGAGGAGCTTGTGTGCACCGTAGAGTGGAGGCCCATGCCAAGAAACACCCTGCGTGCCTCCAGGATGCCCTGGGCTTCTTTTGGTTCGATGGTCTTGCTGTGGAAAGCGTAGCGTTCCCACGCCAACAATCAATGGACGTCCTGGGGTCTCAGGGTTGGGTTTCTTGTGGGTGGTTTCTTGTGGTCCGGCCCCTACTGTAGTGCGTTGGCGCCTCCTGAGGCGTCGTCGATCCTGGACCTGGTGGCCGAAGCAACTGTGCATCAACACAGGGTTTTTTGGGCACACAACTGTATGGTCTGGTGCCGTTTGTCGGCCGACGGGGGGGCCGAAGCAGCTGGTCACAATGCCGTGTTGGAGTGGGGGCCTGTGCGGGGACCACCTGAGGCTCCGGGTGACCTTTGGAGGCCCCTGCGGGGGCCGCCGCGGAACCCCGGGAGGCTTTTGGCCTGAGTTTGGATTCCTGCAGGGGCAGCTTGCACGGATCCGGGCCAGATGGAGCTCCCGTAGCCTACAAGACGCCCAGAGGATAGACATTAGACTCGGGGTTGTCATGATGTCCCACGCAATTCTCGAGTTTTCTATAAAAATAGAAACTGTAAGGATTTCGTGCCTATTTCCGCAGAAACTGGACCAACTGGGGCTGTCATTGGGGCATCTTGAAAGCATCTTGGGCAGCCTTGGGACCAAGTTTGAGGCGTCGTGGAGCGCCGTTGGGCAGTCTCGTGCGGAACTGGGTCACTCGCCTTCTCTCCTTGAACTGGGTCACTCGCCTTCTCTCCTTGTCCACGCAGCGGCGGAGTGGCAGAAGCCACTACCACAGGGGAAATCGTTTCTGGTTCCTCGCCGCCGAAAGAAATTGAGCCTCAAGCCGGCTTGATACAGAACATCAGCGGGTCGGGGGATGCATTATGTGAAACCGATTTGGGAGCACAGAATGGGCCAAACAAGGGCTGAATTTTCCACATCTCTGGGCCCTCTTGGACCGTCTTGGGGCACCTCTTTGCACCCTCTTCGTCCGTCTCGGCGCCTGCTGTCTCATGGGAGAGGTCCTCCTGCGAGGAGGCCTTAGGGGCACGCGACCGTACGCGGCGACGCACCACAGAAACGTCGGCAGTTTGGGATCTGGGCCCGTTTCGATGCACACCTGCCCGTCGGTCGTTGAACCTAGGTATGTCTGGATTCCCAGGTCCCTGCTTCCATTGGGCGCCTTCCTACTTCAACCATTGAGTGCTTTGTCCTTTTCCTTGCTCTTCGGGGGGAGGGTGGAAGCCCAATCTACTTTCAGCGCCTTCCTACTTCATGTTTCTACGCACTTCTTCCGACCGACGGGTATGTATGCTTGAGGGCTGAATGTTCAAAGGGACTGAGGGCATTCCAACTCGTGCCTCGAGGCACGGTGGCGGGTGTGTGTACACACGCACACACACACACATCTAATTGTCGAATGGCCTTCGGCTCATCCCGCCACTGTGCCTAGGTGGTGGGTGTGAAGCCTACTTGATGCTCGTTGGGATCTCGTGGGAGGCTTCTCGGGGGCCTCTTGGAGGCAGTTTGGAGGCCCCTTGGGGGCCCTCTGGGCGTCTCTTTGGGCCCCTTTTGGGCCTCTTGGGGGCCTCTTGGGGCATCCTGGGCGCCCCTTGGGGCCTCCTGGGGGCCTCTTGGTGCGGAAGGCTCGGACGTTCAATTCTTGTTCCCTCTCTTGGGCCCTTTTCGGGGCCGTCTTGGGAGCCTCTTGGGACGACACGCCGACTCCGTGCCCAGCGGCACAGTGGTGTTTTTTTTTGTCGTGCGCATAGATGGTTATACGCCTGAGCAGCATAAAATGCATATGTATACACATTTCGGTCATGACGGGGTTCGGTTCCACCGCTGGTGATAATCTGGTAACGCCACTATTCGCACCCGCGGCGTTTGGGAACGGGGGTAGTTAGGAACGTAGAGTTTGCAGGGTGGTGGGGATTGCTAGGGAGAGCTTGAAACAGCTTAGGATAATTATTGGTGGGAGTAGCTATGGCTATGGGACGTGTGAGTATTTGAAGATAGGGCGTTTTACCAAAGAGGTCAGAACATCGCCGCGGGTGCAACCCGTGCCGTTCTTGGGCTAGCCTGGTGCGCACAGGCATGCTGCGGTACCTACAGGCTACCGCGGTGCTCACGTGCATATTGTGGGTGCTCGCAGGCGCATCGGTGCTCACAGGCATGCTGACGACGAGAAACTTGTCCTGATTGGATGTTCGTTGTGCTCCCTGCCGCCTGCACAGCATTTTCGGTCCATCGCCAAATTTTGCCCTCGACATCCTTGGCTCCCTCCGGTCATCGCCTGCATACTCGAAAACTTAGTCTCAGCACATGCTTCTGTCTTGTGAGATGAGCGGGAAGGCCTCAACACAACCACGCGGGAGCTGGGCGCGCGGCGACGATGATACGAGCAACAACGGCAACAAGGACAATACGCACGGAGGCATGCCGTTTCAGCCGCGCACCCAGGGACAGCGTAAGAGTGCTTGGCCTCGTCGCCTTAACGACGTTCGCAGCGAGCGTTGCAAACCTTACGTGGGCGGCCCGTGCTCATATGCGTACCATTTTGCGCAGCATCCTACGATGCAAGTGCAGCACAGCGCTATACTTTGATGCGTCAGATCAAGCAAGCACGTACGAACGTACGATCTCACAAGCGAAAGCAAGTCGAACTACAGTATAGCACGCAAGCAATCGTCAGCCAGCGCTTACGGCCAATGCTGCACGTGGTTGTGCAACCAGCAATGACAACTTTTTTGCTGATACTTCCCTGGTCTATCGAAACATCTGAACTCGGCACCCGATGGCTTTGGTTGAGGAGGGGCAGTCACCTCACGCGCCGAGGACCCCCAAGGGCCTGGCGAATAGAAGGAAGGCGGGGGGCAGAGGTGGGAGCAAAATGAGGACGAGCAGGATAGGTGCGGGAGGAGCTCCGCAGGAGGAGCAAGAGGAGGGGCAACCGGGAGCAGGGGAAGACACTCGCATCAGCAGTCACGGCGCGCACGCGTTTGGTGCCTCGAGCCTTCCTCCTCCTCCTCCTCCTCCTCCTCCTTCTCCTCCTCCTCCTTCTCCTCCCTCTCCTCCTCCTCCTCCTCCTCCTTCTCCTCCGCCGCCTCCTCCTCCTCCTCCTCCGCCTCCTCCTCCTCCTCCTCCGCCTCCTCCTCTCCTCCTCCTCCTCCTCCTCCTCCTCCTCCTCCTCCTCCTCCCCCTCCCCCTCCTCCTCCTCCTCCTCCTCCTCCTCCTCCTCCTCCTCCTCCTCCTCCTCCCTCCTCCTCCTCCTCCCCCTCCTCCTCCTCCTCCTCCTCCTCCTCCTCCTCCTCCTCCTCCTCCTCCTCCTCCTCCTCCTCCTGCTCCCCCTTCACCTCCTCCTCCTCCTCCTCCTCCTCCTCCTCTTCCTCCTCGGATGGAGGCGGGCCACGGCGCGGTGCGCGGCGGACGAGGGCGGACCCCAGAGCACGAGGGGCCCGGAGCACGAGGGTGATGGCGAGGGGAGGCGAGCGCCGCGGGACGGCGCGCAGGGGAGGCTCGGACCGCTTCGCGTTCGTGAACGGCGGCTTCGTCGTCCTGTCCATGGACCTGGCTGCGGAGGGGACCCCCCTTGTCACCGGCCTATCGAGTTTCGACAACGTCTGCTGTTGGCCCTCGTACCGCTCTGCTCCGCAGACACCTCGGGCATCTCAACGGGAAGGGGGCTGTGAGCCCTGCGCCTGGGAGCGTCTGGGAGCGCTTGGGAGCACCTGGATCGTGACGTGACCAGGGTGGGGGGCGGAACGGGGGGAGGGCGGCGGGGTCGGTCAGTGGCGCTACCGCGAAACATAGAACAAGTCTGCTTCACACCCAGGCGAAGCACAGTCCGACTCCCGGTTCCCCCCCTCGTGTCTCTGCCGCGCCTGCGCGCCCGCTGCCTGGCTGCTGCCGCTCTTGGGCCAAAGGTGGGACCGCTTCTCCCGCCCACCCGCCCATGGTTCTTGATGTCTTATCCTTGCTGCCGCGGCGCCCGGCAGGTTGGCCAGACGCACCGTGGCCTCGCCGCCGGCCCGCCCGCTGCCCGCCACCCCTGGGCCGGGGGCTGCCCTTCAGCCCGGCTGCCCCCGCGCACTCGCCGCAGCTCCGCTGCGCGAGGGTGCCCCCGCGCCCGGTTCCCCCCTTCCTCCGCGGCCGCCTCTTCGCCTTCCTTTTTCCTCTTGCATGCAGGTTAATTCAGGAGAGGAGAAAAAACACAGACACAATTCATCGTCGATTCCTATGAAAAATATGCGAAACTATGGGAAGTGGTGGGGAAGACAAAAACCCAAAACATATGTGAAAATATGGGACATACTTTGATTTGTGTGTATTTGTTTCTGTGTTCTGGGGCCCCTTTTTACAATTCAGGAGGGAAACATACACAGGCACAAGTTATCGCCGATCCTCCGGAATATACGGGAAAAGATAGGCAGTGGGGGGATGACGAACACCCAGGGTTTATGGAAACGATAGAGGGCATCATGGGCTTTGTGTCTACTCATTTGTGTGCCCCTGGGTCCCTTCATGGACTCGCGACGCCGTGCCCCGGTCTCGCCCCGACGCGCGTGCGGGCCGCCTCTTTTCGCAGGCGGCACAGAGGGGGGTGATGACTAGGAGGGGTGGATGTCATGGCGAAGGTCACGGTATCTCCCCAGATTTCATGGCGCCTTTTGCTTGTTTCAATACGTTCGCGGCCCCCCTCGGGCCGCGCACGTGCCGCTCCCCCCTTGGCCGCCCCCGATCCTTGCCGCGCCGCGGCGTGACAAACAATTTCGCGGCGCCGGTGCGCGCCCAACGCCCGTGTGGAGGCCGAGGGCGGCCTCCGAGCCTCGGTTGCCAGTTGGAACGCACAAGGAGAGATCCGGGCAGGAGCTGACAAATTCTTGTCGGCCGTTTTCGTCCAGCATCGTCTTCGTCATCGTCCTCGTCCTCGTCCAGCATCGTCCACTGTCGTCCTGTTTCACACTCGTTTTTTCCGTACCCGTGTCGATCGTACTGATCGTTCCCGGTCCCCCCCAGCTCACCCCTTTTCTTTAGGCGGGCGCGAGCCGACGAGGGCGGCGACGAAGGCGACGCGGGGGAGGAAAAGGAGGAGGAGGAGGAGCGAGGAGCGAGGAGAGCGAGGAGAGCGAGGAGGAGGAGGAGGCAGAAGCCGAGGCGGCGAGGAGGAGGAGGAGGAGGAGGAGGAGGAGGAGGAGGAGGAGGAGGAACGGGGCAATGACGAGGGCGACGAGGTGGAGCGGGAGGAGGAGGAGGAAGGGGGCGAAGACGCGGGCGAGGACGCAATGAGCGGCGGGGACGCACATGAGGACAGGGCAGAGGAGGACGACGGGGGAGCCCGCATCCATCCTTCCCCTTCCTCCCTCCTGCGAGCAGAGGAGGTGGCCGACTTCGTCCGCGGCATCCAGCCGACGAGCGACGGCTTCCTGCAGCATAGGCTGCTGGTTGGCAACGAAGACGTGAGCCTTGGTCGGCTGTTCAAGCGCCACTGGGAAGAAGGACCGGGGGGCGAAGCAGGATGTATATGTGCCGCTGCTTCTCCACCCAAATCCCCCCTCACACTTACCCTCCTTAGTAGCCTGGTCGTTTGCCACCCTCCTCCCTCCTACGTGTCCTCTCTCCTACCTCTCAGTCCTCCCTCCCCTCTGCTCCCTTCTCGCTCCATACCGCCCTGTCTCATCGCTTCCTCCCTCGATCCTCCCTCTACTCCGCCATCCCTCTCCCTTACAGACAACTCCTCACCGTCGCGCCACCAGACGTGCCGTTTGGGCGGAGTGGCAGGAGGATTTGTTCAAGGCGGAGTGTCTGCACCATCCAGAGTTTGGCTCCAGATGTTGTGCAGGGTCATGGTCTTGGCGAGTTCCGAAGCCCTGCATATACAAAGGCTGACTCCTCGCTCCTTTGTTGTTTCCGTCAGGCTCCCCTCCATTTGGTGCCCTGGCCTTTTTCGTTACCTGAGTGTTCAGTGGCGGCGAACAACATGCCTCCCTCTGCTTCTCCTCACCCTTCTCATTCCCGTCCCTCTTCTATACCCCCCTTCCTGATCTTCCGTCCTCCTCTCTCACCTTTCTCCTCCTCCTTGTCGGCCCTCCTCTCCCCCCTCCCCCGAGCATCCACAGTCAGCACATCCGCCCCCTCCTCCCCACTTCGTGTGTGTTAAAACTTGTTTTGGGACTACCAGCCACGGTGCAGGTATGTATGCTCCTAGATGCCATGGCCTCCGCCACCTGGTCGCAGCCAGGCCCGGAATCTTGCCCGCAGTGGTGGTTCGTTCGTTTCTCCTCCCTCCCTCCCTCCAGGAGGGAAGAGGGATGGGGGTGAGGGGGGGGGGCGGGGAGGGGGGAGGGGAGGGAGGACGGGAGGGGGGAGGGGGAGGCGAGGGCTGTTTGGGACTGCGTTGCTCAGGGCGTGCACCCATCCAGGTGGGCCGCCGGCAGGTCGCGGGGTGGGTCGCGGGGTGGGTCGCGGGGTGGGTCGCGGGGTGGGTCGCGGGGTGGGTCGCGGGGTGGTTCGCGGGGTGGTTCGCGGGTGGGTCGCGGGTGGGTCGCGGGTGGGTCGCGGGGTGGGTCGCGGGTTGGGTCGCGGGTGGGTCGCGGGGCGGGTTGCGGGTGGGACGACGGCAACAAACAACAACAAACAACAACAACAACCAACAACAACAACAACAACAACAATAATCCGTACCGCGGAATTCCACTTCAGCCACGCACCCAGGGACAGTGAATGACCGTTCGGTCCCCTCACTATGATATATATATATATATGTATATACACATACACATACATATACATATGTATGTATATATATATATATATATACAAGAGGAAAGAGAAAGAGACAGCAAAAACAAGAGAGGGAGAGAGGGAGAGAAACAGAGAGAGGGAGAGAGAGAGAGAGAGGGAGAGAGAAAGAGGAGAGAGAGCCACGTGGCGGGTGGTCGACAGGCTCTAAGAACACGAATTGAAATGCGCCGAACATCCTGGATCCCTGAAGCCCGCGCGGGAGTCGCGCCAGATGCGCCCGTGCCCCCCCCCCGCGCCAGGGAAAGGGGGGCCGTTGCGAGCCCAGAAAGAGCATGGGGGCGGCATCTTTCAGGGTGCGCCGCGGCCGTGGGTCTCGCTCTACTCCGCGCCGCGGCGGGGCGCGGGCCTCCTCCTCATTCAAAGCGCCGCGCAAATCTCCGACTCCTGCCGCCGCGGGCCGCGGGGCCAAGGGGGGGCAGGGCCAGGCAATGCCGGGCGCGCGCAGGCCCGTGCCCGGAGGCGCGCGGGCCCTGCAATGAGACGGACGGCCACGCCGGCACTGCCCAACAGCCTAGCTTACCAACTCTCTGCCCGGGGGGGGCATGTGCGAAGCTGCGAACGCCCTTGACCGCATTGCAGACCAGGTTGCCAGTTGTCCGCCTTTCCCAACCCCGGCTCATCAGCAAAACGTCCAAGGCTTTCGCGCGCCGGCCCCGCGGGTTTCACCCCCGGCATGTCAGTGTGATCCGCGAGGAAGGGTTGGGGGCGGCAGCGCTCCTTTTCCAGCTGATGGGCATTGCTCGCTCTAATTACGCAGCGCGCCGTGCAAATGACGATCGCGCAGTTAGCGTGGAAACGCAGCGTGGCCCAGGCCGACGAGGCGCTGTCTTCTTCTCAGGCTCGCTTCGCGCGAAAAGGGAAGGACAGCGGAGAGGGGTGCAACGAAATGGGGGTGGGAGAGGGCAGAGCGCGGCGCGGCCCCGGGTTCCAATCCGCCAAGAGGATGGCAGAGGCGAGCCACGAGCCACGCGAGCTAGCGGCTGGCAGAGGCCGCCGCTTTTTGCCGTAGTCGGTCGGACCTGGCTCCTCCGCGACGGGGGTGTCTCTGAGGCCGAGCTTCCGCGGAGAAGGGTCGCGGCGATGGGGCCTGGATCATGCGGTTCACGGCGAGGCGTCGCGCAAATGGCATCTCTCCTGAGCTGCGCCCGAATTGTGTGCGGCGGCAAACTCCCTTACACATCTTACATTGGCGGTCTCGCGCCTGGGGCAATTATTCAAGTCCAGCCGTGGTAAGCTCGGGCATGCGCGATGCCTGCGGTCGGCGCCAGGTGCGAGCATGGGGCGAGGTCCATGCGACGGACGCGATGCCTGAGTCTGATCTCCAGTCAAGAGGGTAAAAGCTCTCCCAGGTGCCGAGGCAAAAGAGCTTCAGAGTCGGTTCTTCGCTGCCGGATCCAGGCCCGCCCTGGCGCGCGGGGCTCGCGGCCGTGGATTCGCGCCGAAAGGGAATTATAGAGGGCGCGAGTTTTAGGGGGGGCAGCTTTCAGCGGCAAAGATAGGGCGGCCACGGTGGATCTCGAGTGGTGCGCGGCGGAGGGCATTGGCCCCGTCGTCTGGGCAGGGGCCGGTCTGGCAAGATGCGTCGCCGAATTGTGGAACAACAGCGGAACCAGAAGGCTCGCGCGGACCGCTGGTCTTGCAAGGGGCCACGGGGCGCGCTCGATCATGCAGCGCAAGACATTGCAAACAGCATCGGGGCAGGGTTGCTGAGAAGAGCGCATGGTCCCGTGGATTTTCTTTGCAAGTGGGTCACTCGCGCAGGTTGGGAACTCCCGTCTGCCATCGAGACTCAGGACAGGGGGGGTCAGCTTGGGGCCCGCTTCAGACAGCCCCCGGAAAAGGGTCAGCAAGGAGATCCAGTGGCAGTTCCAGGGCGCATTTCTATGACTTCTCGAACAATAATGCGCCTGCAGACTCAGACATTGCTATGTCTGGCTTGTGGTGGGAGCTTTTTCCAGAGGCAGCGCCCGCTGGCAGGCCTCAGCTTTCGAGGGCAGTCTCTGGCTACTGGACAAACGCGCGCAGCGTGGGGGCACCCGGGCGCCCGCGACTGCCCGCGTCGCAACGCGCCTGGTACGCGCGCCCGCGGAATGCGGAAATGCCCGCGAAGCCAGAGCATCTGGCGGGGAGTTGTCGGCAATATTCGGGGCGGGGCCAAGGCGATCCGAGGCATCCCTCTATGCCCGCGGCGTTCGGCGGCCAGACCTGGCGCCCCCAGGGCGGCCCAGGACTGGGCATATTGAAATGCTGGACCAGAGCGGGCCGTGCCGCGATAGAGCGTTTGACAGGGATTTTCAGTTTTCGGAGATGGTTCCACGATTGGCCCATCCCACTCGCATAATAGCAGGCCCGGCTTGGCAGCAGTCCAATTCTATGCCGGCGGGGAGCTGATGTTGGCCGCTAGGACATCCTCGCCAGCGGATTCCCCTCGTACCCTTGCACGTAGCGTTTAAGCTCTTGTCTAGGCCAGCGTCATTCGCCTCTGATTGGGCAGCCCTTCGTAAAGTTACCCGATCCAATGGCAGGCAGTCGCTTCTCGGGAGAATGCTGGCGCTCTGTTGGTTTCCATCTCCCAGCGGATCCGCAGACCCCCGCGGGCAAGACCAATGCGCATCGAAGCAGGGCGACCGTCGCGGAAGCTGAGCTAGACGGCAATGCCGAGAAGGCTGCCAGGAAGCGTGCGCTCCCCAGGCAGGACATGGAGGCCCGCGTCGAGGCCGCCCGTGCCCATGCTGCCCTGCTCGACGTCGCGTGGCCGGATCCTCTGGGAGTGGCCTCGGGCCACAGATATGTGGCCCGATGCCCAGTCGCGGTCCTCCAGGGGGCGTGATTGTTTTTTGATTTGGTTTCCCATATTATTGAGGCTATGGATGCGGGGCCCCGTTTTCACCACGAGCCCACGGCAATCTGTGCCAACGAAGCGAAATTGCCTTTAATATTATGCGGTGGTGTGGGGGGTGTTACAATATTGTGTAATTGTTGAAACTGCGCGGAATTCACTCGTGTCAGAACTGAGGAAGTTACGGAGCGGCCGAATTCCAAGCACACCTGACAGGTTGTTACATCCTATGCCTATATGTGTCCGCTTGTGGCGGGGATTTGGAGAGGATCGCATCCGAAAGTGGGCGTTGCACTAGTCCGACCTATTTAGGCCTCATCCTTTGTTGTTGCACTGTTTGTGTGTCGCAGTTTCGAGTGTGCCAGAGTATCATCAGTGCAATTCCGCTGTCAGGAGTCTTTGCAGATATGTGGTATTCCAGGTGTACTCGCCCATCCGTGAGAGGAACTGTTACGAACCATTGAGTGATGTTTGCTTGGTCCAGGCGAATTCAGCTTGCAGCTCGCCCGGGCGAGGTTGCTCTTGAACTGCGTTTTATATTTCATATCCTCCTCCTTGCATATCCCCGCCTCACCCTGCTCCTTTTTTCCCCATTTCGTAGCATGAGCTGCTGTGCTCTAGCACAGCAAGGTCATCGACTGTTTGGGGGGTCCAGGGGGAGAGGGGAATGGGGGGAAGATGTGATCTATGGAGCAGACGGGTGACGAGTTTTGCCGTCAGTGCCGCCGTCGACCAATGGTCGACTGGCGATGATTGGGCTCTTGCTGTGTCGCCGAGTACGACCGAGGGAAAATTGGGGGAGGAGGAGGGACGACTTGTACGAGAAGGAGGATGGAGGAATGAGGAGGGAGGGGTGAGTGGGAAATCGAGGGAGGAGGGAGGAGGAGGGACGAGGGACGAGGAGGAATAAGTATCTGAGGAGGGAGGAGGACGAGGGAGGACGAGGAGGGAGGAGGAGGAGGGAGAAGGAAGAAAGAAGAGGGAGAGAACAGCGGGAATTTCGAGGTGGAGGGTTCCGGCAGGGACCCTGAACATGAACGCGGGCGCCTTCAACTGGAGCTCCACTTCCCCAGCGGGGCAGGGCACTGGCGCCAGCTCCGAGTTCGCCGCGGGGGACCCCAGGCGGGAGGGAGGGAAAGAGACCGAGGAGGAGGAGGAGGAGGAGGAGGAGGGGGAGGAGGAGAGGAAGAGGAGATGAGGAGGAGCAGGTGGAGGATGAGGAGGAGGGAGAGGAGGAAAAAGATGACGAGGAGGAGGAGCAGGACAGAGGAAGGGGGGAAGGGAACGATGAGCAGGAGGATAAGGAGGAGGAGGGGGGAGGGAGGGATGGGAGGAAGGATGGAGGAGGAGATTGAGGGAGTGAGGGAGCGAGGGAGGGAAGACAGAATGGAAGTTGGGAGGGAGGGGTTGGCCGGCGCTGTCGCGCATCGGCCCGTCACGTCGCGTTGGCCGCGACGGACCGGCTCTTGCTGCGTTCGAGGGCGCGCGGCAGTGACGCGCGGTCCGTTTCAGAGAAGCGAAACGGAGGAGGGAGGGTGGGAAGGATGGCAAGCGGAAGTGTCTTTAGCAGATAATTTGTTTGTTTCCGAAGACATAAAGCATAAAAATGATCTCTCATCGAGAGCAAAAGAACCGCCCACCCTAATAACACGATGAAGACGTGGCCGCACTGAGGTCCCAATCTTCGCATTAGGGATCGTAATTCTGGGCGGTTTGGTTCGCTACATCTGCAGAACAAAAAAAGAATCTTATTTTCCTGGCCCTCCTAACTTGGGTCCCCTCCCAAGGGGTCAGGGATCATTTTTTTGACAATCGATGTCGGGTAGCACCGCGCAGATTTCTTGGGCCGGCGCTTGCGCCGCCCCCAGCGCGCCCCGTGCACTGTGGAGGGGGAACCGGCGCAGAGAAATGATGGTTCTCCCGTTGTTTGATTGCTTTGAGGAGGGAGGGCGGGCGTGGGTAGGGGGGAGTGCTACAAGTCGCTGGTCGTACAACTCGCTTGTGGGCTCCCGTGCCGGCTCTTCCGACTGGGCGCGGTGTTAGACCAGGAGTGTTGGGTTGTCGTGGGGGTCTGAAGAGGCCCATGGGGGTTCCATGGAGTTTGGGGGGTCCTGAGAGGTTATGGTGCCGAAAAGCGGTTAGATGATGATGCTGATGATGTTGTTGGTGAGTGTGATGATGATGATGCTGCTGATGATGATGATGATGATGATGATGATGGTGATGTCGGTGGTTGTGGTGATGGTGATAGTGGTGGTGATGGTGATGGTGATAGCGATGGTGATGCTGATGCTGATGCTGATGTTGGTCGTGATGGTAGTGGTGATGACGATGGTGATTGTGATGCTGATCGTGGTGCTGATGATGATGTTGTTGATGATGACGGCGGTGCTGCTGCTGCTGCTGATGATGATGATGATGATGGTGATGATGACGATGATGATGCTGATGGTAATGATGATGATGATGCTGATGATGCTGATGATGATGATGCTGATGCTGATGATGATGCTGATGCTGCTGCTGCTGATGATGATGATGATGATGATGATGATGATGATGATGATGATGACAGCGATGGTGATGGTGATGATGATGATGATGATGATGATGATGATGATGATGATGATGATGATGAGGAGGAACTGGAGATTATGTCAATCACACTCACAAGCAACATGCCACTGAAACGGTGGCAGCAGCTGTTTGGGCACCATGGACATCGCGCCAAAGTTGGATCCATTTGAGCACGCGCTGCTGTGCACACGACTCCCCAGAGGAGGAAGCGGGGGAACATGAGGAAACGTAGGAGATGATGAGAAGGACAGCGAATAATAGGAAGATGATTCCGATAATTTGAGAAGCAGACATCGAGTAACATAATTGTAGTGTCGACCAGGAGGACATTGAAGCGCTGCAGGAGCAGAGGGACTCCACACTCGTGACAAGAAATAGGATGAAGAGGATATGCAGGACGAGGAGGAGGAGGAGGAGGAGGTGCACGAGGAGGGGCACGTGCAAGAGAACGAGATGGGGCGGTAGCGGCAGAAGGGACACCCTTGCAGGGAACACCGCGCCGCCCACGCCGGCCGTGGTCCCTCCAGCCCTCCTTCAGGCCCTTCCTCCCCCAGTCCAGCCCTCCGTCCTTTCAGCCTCCCTCTTCCCCCCCTCACGGACATCCGGCACTTCCTCCTTCCTTCCTCTCCCCTTCCCTCTCCAGCCATCCATTCCTCCTTCCTCTTCGCTCTTCCACGCCCGCCTCTGTCTTCCTTTTTTTCGACCCTCGTCACTACTCGCTCCTCCTTTGGTCCTCCTCCACCCTTTCTCCCCCTGTCCGGCTGCCCCTCCTGAGGAGAATGTGGAGGAAAAGAAGAACCAGGAGGAGGCGGAGGAGGAACGGAAAAAGTAGGAGGAGTAGGATGAAGAGGAGGAGGAGGAGGAAGAGGAGCAGGGGGATGAGCAGGAACCGTAGCCGTTTTGGTCCACGTTGCAGCGGGCCAGCGCTTCCGAGTCAAGCCTTAACAGGGACCAGAATTCACGAGTCCGACCCCCTCGGACGTGATGGGCAGCTACAGCAGCTTGCTGCGACCCTGCCCTGCCGTCCCGCATAGCTCTGAGTCGGCCACCGACCGACTCCCTTGCCCCAGTGATCAGGGGAGGAGAAACCAGCCGGACCCGACATGAGGCGTTCACCAAACGGCGCTGGGCATTTGCTAAACAGCCCTGCCCGGTTCGATTCCTTCTGTGGGTGCGTTTGCGGCTTCGCGTGTCGGGGTGCTCATCATGCGGGGGGGATGTTCTGCCATCAACAGTGAGGCGCGCAGGTCTGCTGCGGGGGCCAGCTCCCCCGAGGTACTGTGCTTACGTAACTGTGTCGATAGTGGGATCTTGGACCAACGCTACCAACGACGCGCAGCAACGATTGCAATGGCGACACCTCACCCCGTTTACCTTGCCCAGCCCACCCGTATTCGACAGCAGGATACCCTCACGGGCATTGTGTGGTATTTCCCGTATGGCTAGGTGCTCCAACAGGGGAAGTGTATTTCACTGTCGCGCCTGTCAACTTTTGCCAGACACGTGCGCCCAATACTCTCAGCCACAGCAGCCACAGGGAAGCGGATCTGGGTGTGGACATGGTTGGCCAGGCAAGCGGACACGGGGTTCACGTTGGCGCCGCCGGGGCGGCCCACGGTGACCGCGCCAGGCCGCAGTGAGCAGCAGCCACTCTTGTGATCGTTTTTTTGTTCAGTGTTTTGCCGATCGGCGCGGGCACTCGCACCCCCTCCCCCTCCCCATGGAGTAGATCTTGGCTGTCTTTGGTGCATGTTTCGAGCAGGTGGACCCCCATCCCCCATAGGACGCACTTTCGCAAACAGTCGCACTAGGCAGAGGTCTGGAGCCAGACCCCCCCCCCTCCCCACCCTTTCCGTCCCATGCCGAAACGCCGAAAAAGAACACGCTCACTTTCCCCCGCCCTTCCCTCCCCCTCCCTGGCTCCGCCAACTGCTCTCAGCCGTCCCGTGCGCGCGCCAGCTTCCTGTGTGCACTCGTTCCAATGTGTCTCCGCCACCGCCCCTGATCTTCTCGGCCGCCGCCACGCCCACACAGGGGGTCGGGGAGATGCCTCCCTCCCTCCTCCCTCCTCCTCCTCCCTCCTTCTCTTCCTCCTCCTCCTCCTCCCTCCTCCCTCCTCTCCTCCTCCTCCTCCTCCGCCTCCTCCTCCTCCTCCCTCCCTCCTCCTCCTCCTCTCTCCTCCTCATCCCTCCTCCTCCTCCTCCTCCTCCTCCCTCCTCCTCCTCCTCCTCCTCCTCCTCCTCCTCCCTCCTCCTCCTCTCCTCCTCCTCCTCCTCCTCCTCCTCCTCCTCCTCCTCCCCCTCCTCCTTCCCACTCCTCCCTTGCGGTCGTCGTTTTCCCGCGTCCCTCTCTCGCCTCTCGCGGCTCATCTCTCCCCCCCCACCTCTTTCCCTCCTCGTCCTCTCCTCCCCTCGTGGTTCCTTCGCCCTCCCCGTCCTGCATCATGCCCCCGCCGCGGGCGGCGAGGTTTCTCCTGCGAGCCTGCCCGTGGCGGCACTCGAAGGAGCTCAAGTATCCCAGCGGTGGGCGGCGGGGGCCATCGGTCATTGAGGGCAGGGAGGCCCTGACCCTGACGACACCATGAAGACGTGGCCTCACCGGGGTCCCCGTCTTCGCATCAGGGATCATAATTCTGGGCAGGTTGGTTCGATACGCCTGCAGGCAAAGGCAGCCCATCCCTGATGTTCCTGGCCCTCCTAATTTAGATCCCCTCCCAACGGTCAGGGGTCCTTTCTGGTAAATCTGTAAGGTTGCGGGAGACAGAGGGAAAGCTCCAAGCTTGGATCGATGAGGAGGAGGGGAGGAAGACAAGGCAAGGAGGAGGAGGGGAGGAGGAGGAGGAGGAGGAGGAGGAGGAGAAGGAGGAGGAGGAGGAGGATCGATGATGATGGATGATGATGATGATGATGATGATGATGATGATGATGATGATGATGATGATGATGATGATGATGATGATGCTGATGATGATGATGAGGATGATGAGGAGGAGGAGGAGGAGGAGGAGGAGGAGGAGAAGGAGGAGGAGGAGGAGAAGGAGGAGGACCTTTATCTTTACCAGCTGTTCGTGGTGACCTGCTGCATGGCGGGGCAGGATCTCAAGCTCAGATGCGGGAGCACTCACGACTCAGGGAGGAAAGACACCCTGCACCTCCATGGACGGGTAGAAGACAATGGCGTAGAAAGCAATAACCAAACACACCGACACGATGCAACCCGCAGTGTCGAAATTACAATGCTCCTCCAGCAATATCCCTCAGGAAAGTGGCGAGCTGCATGCTTATTTCAAAAACACCAGCCAGAGAAGAACATACCAATCACACACAACACACAAAACAATGCCGAACTGCTGCACCAAAGCCCGGCCGCCATGACCGCCACACCGAACGCCATGAGGCCGCGTACTCCAAGACGCGCAACGCATGCCACACCCACACCAGTTGGCCCACGAGCACAAGCCGTGGCAAGACATTATGAACAACTTCGCTCCGTGAGAAGACAAACCATAACTGAAGACAATGATGAAGACGCCCGGCAATAGTAGTGACCCCAAGTGAAGTAATAAATTGTGCCACCTCCAGCAATACTCACAAAGTATGTGTCGAGCTGCACGCTACTTTCAACCACCAGCCAGAGAAACACAATATGAAACCCACCACGTGGAATACACTGCCGAACACTGCACCAACACGTCCTGAGGGCACACCAGGCCCGAGGGCGAGGGGAATGCTAGCCAACGGCTCATCCCTCGAGCCCTAAATCAAAAATACCTGAGCCCCATCCCACCAGAAATCGACTGCACAATGACAACCAGTGGAAAGCGCTCAGGCCCGTGATACAAGTACGAGCTGCCTCAAATATCGTAGCGGACCCCATGCCCACAACGATAACCAGCATGCCCAGCAGCCCGTCCACTAAGAAGTCTTGCCTCATCACACGAGGAGACCACTGAGCTGCAGCGGCATGTACCTGAAGAGAGGCAACAAATTCAACCCGGCGTTGCCAGGAGCATTTGGACCTCAAGCGGCAGGGGGCGGCGCACCTCCCCACATTAAGCCCTGGGACGACGGCCGAGCGGCGCTGCGGGGGGGCACTCGGGCCACCGTGGCTTGAGACAAAATGGCTACGGAGGAGAAAGAGGAGGAGGAGGAGGAGGAGGAGGAGGAGGAGGAGGAGGAGCAGGGATTTCATCCCTTTGATGTAACCGTCGTCGTCCCCTTCCGCTGGCGTCTCGCAGATGTGGCTGAGGCATGGGGTTGCTCCCCAAAAAGGGGAGGAGGATTGGAGGAGGAGGAGGAGGAAGAGGAGGAGGATGAGGAGGAGGACCCGTGTAAACCCAAGACGCACGAGACATTGTTGCAATGAACCCTCCTTCCAAGTTCCCTCTTCACAGGTCCCTGCAAGACTTTGTTTTCATTGCGGGGTGTTATACATTGGACGACAAACATTTGAGAATAATCAACCGTGCCAAAACACCATTCCTTAGATTGCGAAGTCCTTGCGGCCGGTGTCGCCCACCTTGAAGGCGGACGACGACAGCGACGACGAAGCACATTCGAAAACTTGTAGGGGGAATTTCCCTTGGGCCTCCTGGGAGCCTCTCGGGGGCTTCTCGGGCGCCTGTCGGGGCCTCCCGGGGGCCTCTTGGGGCGGAAGGCTCGAAGTGTCGGTTGGTGTTCCCCTCTCCGGAGCCTCCTGGGGCCTTCTTGGGGCTCTGTTCGGGTGTCTTGGGGCGGTCTTAGGGCCGTCTTGGGCAGTGTTGGGGCGCTTTTCGGCAGCCTCTTGACGCCAGCTTGGGGCGCTTGTGGTGGCTTCCTGCGGGGCGACTGTGCGCGGATCGAATCGCGGGTGGACTGCCTGTGGGCACGCGGGGCTGGGGGCAGCTGGGGAGCGAGGAGGCGGGCCGCGGGTGCGTAGCGAGGGGGCGTCGGGGGCGCGCCGTCTTGGCGCGTCGCGGAGGGGTCGCTTGGCGGGGCGAAGCTGCACTGTGGAGTTGCACTTCAGGCACGCGCCGAGGGACCGTGTGAGACCGCTGCCCCCAGGTGGGCCACGCGGGGCCCTCCTTGGGGGCAGGGGCGGGGAGGGGCGCGGCTCCTGCCTCGGAGGGGCGGGGCGGCGGCTCGGCAGACGAGGTAAAAAAGCGTGGACAGACCAAGCGGGTGGACGGCACCGGCGTGGGCGTACAGCCGAGATTGCTGGCAGGGATGGGTAACCTTCCCTGATGTATTCTGCTCGCCGGGGAGTCCGTGCTGATGCAAGATCGGGTGTGGTGTGTCGGAGTTGCCCGTGGTCTTCTGCAGCCTGCGGGTGAAGCGCAGAGCTGATCCTCCTGCTGTCTGTGGAGCGCGAAGCTGCAGAGGGATACAGTCGAGACCGATGATAGGGATGAGTCACCTTTCCCAGGTGTGCCCTTGCGTCCCTGCCTCTTCGGTCCATCCGCAACCACTTTCGATGGCCAGCCCCGCTCGAAGAGCCTCGACATGGGCGCCCAAGGGTCCTGCGTCCTCACCGCGCATCCTCACTGCAGTCAGCCCGCCTGGTTAGGACGCGCGCCTTTACCTAGGATGCCCTTGTGTCCTTGCCTCTGAGGCCCGTCCTTGCCATTATCACTGGTCGCCCGCCGCCCAAAAAATCCCAACTTCGGCCTCCAAGGGTCTAGCGTCCTTATCACCCGTCCTTAATACACGTTTTGACTGTACTAAGTCAACGCGCCTAGTTAGGACGCGCGCCTTTACCTAGGGTGCCCTTGTGTCCTCGCCTCTGCGTCCCGTCCTTTGACGTTGTCACTGGCCTCTCGCCGGTTAGGGTACCCTGCGTCATTGGGGCTTGGGTCGCCTGCCGCCCCAAAGTCCCAACTTCGGCCTCCAAGGGTCTTGCGTCCTTACCACCCGTCCTTCATACAGTCGGCCTTGATTAGTAGGTCGACCCTGCCAAGTCAAGGGTACCCTTGTGTCCTGTCTTCAGAAAGCCGTGCCTTTACATTCCCACTACGGCAATGTATCCATCTGAAGGGTCATTGTGTCCTCTCGCGTGTCCTCGCCAATCAAGCCGGACTGTACACCTTTTGACTGTACCAGTTCTGATTGTAAAATGTGCGTTCCCCACATCGGTTCCGCCCAGTCACTCGAGCCACACATTTGGGGGGTGCGTCGTCATGACGTCAGCTTCGGGCCGTCGCCTGGAAACCGAGGGAGAAGAGCGCTGCGCGAAGAGACGGCGAGAGGGCTTGCAGGGCTGCGCTCCAATTCGATTCGATTGGATCTCGATGGATTCCGATTCCGATTCGATTCGACTTCGGATACAAGTTTGGATTCCGATTTTGCAACGAGGTCTTACTTCTCCGCCGATTTCCGCCGATTCGATTACTTCCGACCTGGCTGCCGACATATCGATTCGATTCTGTGATTTTTGGGAGCTTACAGGGGGCGCCGAGTTGCAGCCCAGTTGTGCGGTGCGACGCTGTCGTCGCCCCCCCCTCTTCTCCTATTCTCGCAAGTTGTTTCCCCACTAGTATCAGCATTGGTACCCGCGGTCCTGCCCCCCCTCCTCCAGGCGAAAGTCTCTGTCGATTCTGGCGTGTTTTGGGGGTTTAGCGGATATTGTCCAATGCGTTTTCGATTGGTGTATATTGTTCTGGTGTGTTTTCCATGCAACATGTGGCCAACATATATGCACCAATCCGCCAGGGCAGGTTTCGCGCCTTATTGGTGGATATTTTGAGGGCGGTTTTCCGGCCCGCGCTGTCAGGGCCCGCCCGTCTTTTCAGAGCCGCTTCACGCGGGGTGCCGTGCCCCGCTGCTTTTCCCGACGGTGGGATCCCGTGCGCAGTGCAGCGCGTATTACCTTCGTCCTACCTCGCCCTGCCGTAGACAGCCTGCCCGCGCTGGCACCTTGAAAAATGCAGATCCGCATGAATGTGGCGCGTGCATTCATGCATTGTTCCAGCGAAACGCCTTACCGAATATACTTCACCCTTCCATCCTGTTCAGGGGGGGGTCCCAGGATCTAGGGCGATGAAGAGGGGGAGGGAAGCAGGCGGAGGAGGAGCAGGAGGACGGCGACGGTCAGGCGCGCTTATACTCGGTTCGCTTCGTCGCCCCCCCCCCCCCGCGTTCCGTGCGGCACAGCAGCGGACAGCAGTCTGGCTGTTTCGCCGTGCGCTCTGGAAGCAAAAACAAACAAGGAAGGGCACGGCCGCACGCGCAACGGCTTTCCCTATATTAGGGGGCCACAAGCGAACCCTACCCCTGCCCCCCACGAGTTTTGAGGGGGAGGGTGGGGTTCACTTCGCTCGTGACCTCCCGAATCAAGTGAACCCCACCCTCCCCCTCAGAAATCGTGGGGGGTAGGGGTAGGGCTCGCATGTGGCCCCCTATATATGCGCGAGTTGCCTCGCCGTCCGTTCTGCAGTGGGCACTCCGCGCGGATTTCTTGGATCGGCGCGGGTCCCCCCCCCCCAGGCGGCGCCTTCGACGCCGTCCCTGGCGCGCTCCGCGCACCCGGAGGGGGGGGGCCCCGAAGATCGAAGAAATCCGCGCAGACCTCAACTTGACACTTTGCCGGCACAGCATAGTGAATTGAGTGATCTTGCGTACAGAAAAGAGTTTTCAACACAGTGCGATTCCTGGTAGCCCATTCTTTCGGTTCGGGGTCCCCGAAGATCCAAGAAATCCGCGCAGACCTCAAAGAAATGTGTCAGTGCTGTCTTTTCCTCTGGGGAAGCACGGCCACCACGGCCATGCTGAGGCAGCGGCGACGACTGGCAATCATCCGCGGACGTCTTGAGTGCAACGTACCGCGTTGGCGTCTCCCGGGGCGTCTTCGATTCTCGGCCCAGGAATGGTACGTTACATAGTTTCTCTACCGCTTAGAGCAGAGTTCTTCACGCTTCGCGAATCCCCACCACCCTTGCTTGCTGGTCGCCACGGGGATCTCCACGCCACCGGGTAGGGAGTTTCGTTTCTGGCTCTTCTTCTGAGTGGCTGCTCGCGCGCTCGCTTCGCTTGCCTCTCTTTTCTTGCTGCCTAGTCGCGGCCCGACTAGTGTTCGGACGGCTTTCGACCTGCTTCGCGAGCCTGCAGACCAAAAGAGTATCCCCACCAGTTCGCAAGTAGGTCCGCTCGTAGCCCGAGCCAACTCTGCTTGTGCTGCCGGCGCCTTCACCTGCGGCCGCGACGGAAAAAGCATCCCCACCAGCCACCAGCCCGTTCAGAAGCCCTGGCCATGAGAGCTGACGGGGAAAGCGACGAAGAGACACGTGTGCTGAAGCAAAGCGGGCAGCCAGGATGAACAGAGGGATCTCTGCGAGCCCCCTGGGGCCCACGATGCGGCGAGGGGAGGAGGCCGAGGAGGAGGAGGAGGAGAAGAAAGAGAAAGAGAAAGAGAAAGAGAAAGAGAAAGAGAAAAGAGGAGGAGGAGAAGATGAAGGAGGAAAAGGAGGAGGCACACCGCTTCTTGGGGCCCGCGTAGGTCGCTTTTGAGACCGTCTTGGGACTCTCTTGGGGCTCTCTTGGGAAACTCTTGGGGCCCTCTTGCGGCTCCTGTAAGGCCTGCCGGTCCATCTTGCAGGGCGTAGGGCGTCGATCCACGGAGGGGGGTCCTACATTTGCCTTCCCCCCTCTGGGGCCCTCAACATCGCCTCTTGAGGCCCTCTTGGGACGCTCTTGGGCCCTCTTGTGGCCGACTGGGGGGCCGCTCGGGGCTCTCTCGTGCCATATTGGGGCAATCGTGAGGCCTCACGAGTGCATCGGAAGCGAAAAGCCGAGACGGCAACCATCAATGGCCTTCCTTAGGTTTTGAAGGATGTTGGCTTCGTGGGGGGTCCTGAGGGGACTCCCAGAGCACTGGGAACCGTGTAGTGACCCTCGTCGGGCCTGTTGGAGCTATGTCGAAAGCTATATTGAACCATCTTGAACTTTTTTGAACCGCTTTGGCGGCCGTAGGCCCTCTTTGGAGCCATCTTGGACGAAAAAGGATCCCTGCCACCTCGCGAACGCCCGAGGAGGAGGAGGACGAAGATGAGAAGGTGGACGAAGAGGACGAGGAGGATGGCGAGGCTCATGAGAACGGGAAGAGGAGGAGGCGGCAGGAGGAGGAGGAGGAGGAGGAGGAGGAGGAGAAGGAAGAGCGAACGAGCGACCAGGCGTGCACGCCCCGAAGACCTCGCGATCAAATTTGGCCACTCGAGCCGTCCCCGAGCCAGGCTAGAAATGGCCAAAGTAGGGGGAGGAGGCGGAGGAGGAGGAGGAGGAGGAGAGGGAGGGGGATAGGGGGCAAGCTAGGTGCGTTCGCGTCATATCTGACGTCCTACCCCTCCCTCCCATCCCATACCATGGCGTAGATATCCTCTCGACTCGCACAGTCGGATGTCGAGCATGGCAATGATCGCGAGAGGGTACGCGATGCATGGTAGAGCACGGCATGGCATGGCGTAGAAGAGCACGGCAGAGCGTAGCATGGCGTGGCATTGCGTAGTGAAGGGTTGCATCGCAAAGTATAGCAACGCAACGCATGGCACCGCACAGCGGCGCAGAACACAACACCGCACAGCATAGCATGGCATGGCGCCATGTTCTTTGGAGGGTAAGTGGATCGTCTTCGAGAGGTCTGGGTTGGTCTGGAGTCGTGGCTGCATGTCCAGTTCCTTGGGCTCCCCGAAAAGCTCCACACAAGGCGGGGCTGATTGAGAGCACCCACTGGCTTTGCTTTCAACATCGCCTTCTCAAAGCAGAAACGTGGCTCCCGCTAGATACTTCCTGAAAGCGACGACGCCCCCCAAAGGGGGGCTTCTGCGGCCCTGTGTAATCACTTCCGATGGTTTTTTCGGGGGGACATTTTTTTAGATTTTGGGGTCTATTTGGAAGGAAGGCCATCGCTGCAGCGAGAGCGCGATTCGGAACGAGCGGGAGCGCGGAAATGGCCAGAGCACGATTCGGAACGAGCGGAAGCCCGAAAATGAGGCCAGCGCTTCAGCGGGAGCAGCATTTTGAAAAAGGCTATAGCGAAAAACCCGCTTCCCGGGAATCCAGTGTTTGAGAAAACGATACGCGGGTGGGTGGTGGGTGGGCGGAAATCTTCCGGACGTCATCAGGGGAGAGAGGAGGGTAGTGCTCATATTGTGTAATTTTACAGGGGATGGGGAGGAGGGGGAGGAGGGGAGATAAGGAGGAGGAGGAGGAGGAGGGGAGGAGGAGGAGAGGAGGAGAGGAGGAGAGGAGGAGGAGGAGGTAGGCGGAGGAGGAGGGGAGGAGGCCAGGAGGAGGAGGGGATCGGAGGAGGGTGTGTGAGAAGCGCACCTCTGAGCTGCAACCAAGGGGCGACAGGGGATATCCCGGGCAGGAGGGCCCGCGGAGCCAGGGGAAGGGGCAGGGCCAGAGCCTTCCCCCCCCCCCCCCCTTCTTATCTTTCCCTTCCCCCTCCGTTTTTGCCCTCCTCCTTCGCCTCCCCCTCCTCCTCCTCCTCCTCCTCCTCCTCCTTCCTCCTCCTTCCTCCTCCTTCCTCCTCCTTCCTTCTCCTTCCTGTTCCTTGCTCCTTCCTCCTCCTTCCTCCTCCTTCCTCCTCCTCCTTCCTCCTCCCTCCCCCCTCCGTATTTTCGGGTGTTGACAGACCTCTTACCATGACACGTCGATTAAGGGATGGGCCGTTGTCTGTTCGCGAGGGGGCGTCGAGGCCGTCACTTTTTCCGGGTCCAGGTCCGTCGGTGACGGGCCCAGGCCGTTTTCATTAAGGGAAGGTCTACTAAAGGGAGGTTTGTCCACCGCCGATCTTTGCCCTCCTCTCGGGCACTCGCAAACATGGATCAAGGGCGCGTGGAATAGCGACGGGTCCCGTCTCCACAAGGGGAAGTCGCGGAGTCCCGCCGCCGAGCGGGGCGGCGCCGGCCGCATTTTTGGGGAGGGCACCTCCCCCGATCCATGGATTTGGCGACCGCGCGCCAAATCCACGGGCCGCTAATCCATGTTTGCGCGCCCTCGATCCTCAGGCTCCCTAATTTTCCGCGTCTAACACAAAAAAATCAAGGCGCAGGTCGCTCGCCGTTGTCGAACTCTGGGGCCCCCGCCCGGCTCCAGCGCCGTCAGACAGCAGTTCAGGCTCGAGCATTGGCCCCCCCGGGGGAGAGGCGCGGTTTTTCGGAGACCCCGCATTGAATGGGTCCTTCTCCGCATCTTGTTCCCCTCCCCTTCTCCCTCAGAGGGGCGGAGGGACGGAGGCTTCCCCATCCACCGGCCTCACGGGACGGAAGGTTACCTGCGCCAGTGGGAGAACCGCCACGTCAAGGGGTGCCGGTGCAACTGCCCCGAGGAGTACTCGCCGGAGGAGGCAGTCGGGGAGGTGGGGGCGGAGCTGAGGGACGGAGGTACGGTAGGTCCGTTCCGTGTCGACGCGGCGGCGGTTCTTGCGCAGGCGTGCAAGGTTGAACGTTGCCAGTGGCCTTAAATCCGGCCGATGTCGAACGGTCGGTGTTGTCGGAGAGCCGCGATGGCTCAAGGTGAAGCGCTCCTCCCTGTATCATTGGGTCGGGCATGTCCCCCTACAGGCGGATTTTGCACGAAAAAGAAGCATCGTCCAAACAACCTGCAAACACGGTGAAAGCATACTCGAAACATCGTACCCAGACTATTTTGTTGACTATGTTCGAACATTCCTCCTGTAGAGGTACATCGGCGTCATCCCAATCTACTCATACTATATGTGCGTCGCCCCCCCAGGGGCGACGCGCGCACCGAGATATCTTATAGTATATGCGTCTTGGCGGGCGCTTTCTGGCCGCACCGCTCGGGTAACGACACACTACAAGATGGGTATACTGTATGTTCGGGTCGGACGCGCGCCTCCAAGGAGGACATATATCGGGGAAGCGTAAGACTCGAGTAAGCTGGAACTCGGGTTTGCCGAAGTTTTTTTGGCGAGCGCGTCCTGGATTTTGACGGTCCGATTTTCGTGGGATGTTTGCAGCGGGGGCTCGCGTCAAATTTGAGATTGGGTCTCGTCATTTTTATGATGTCCCCGTCAGGCCAAGCCGAATCCCCTGTACCCAAGTCTTACGTCTACCTGGATATAGTATTAGTATGTCCCTGTGCGTCCCAACCATCGCGAAGATCGTCACGACCCGAGCTCCCGCGGTCGGGGAGCCGCCTCGGGGCCTCTGGGAACCGCCCGGGAGCCACGCGGGGCCCTCTTGGGGGAGGGCTGGGGCGGGGCGCTCGGAGGGGCGGGGCGACGGCTCGGCAGACGAGGCAAAGAGCCCTCCTCCTCCTCCTCCTCCTCCTCCTCCTCCTCCTCCTCCTCCTCCTCCTCCTCTTCCCCCTCCTCCGAGATTCACAACGAGGAAGGTGCAGCGATGGCGCCCGAGCCGCCGCCCACTCCCACGGTGCTCCGTGGGCCGCGGCGGCCCTTTTGGGCGTGCGGGAGGTGCTCGGCGGCGGCGAACTGGGCATCTCGCATTCGCTGTCAGTGCGGGAATGAGGCGCCGCTTCGGATCAGGAACGAGGCCTGGAAGGCCCACAAGGCGGCGGTCGCTGCCTTGCCATCTGGTCAGTCGGGGGCGTCACCACCGAAGAACAAAGACAAGGATGACACCAGTAAGAGGCTCGCGGAGATGGAAAAGCTCATCAGGTCGTTCTGCAGCAAGGGGGAGCCGCCGCCTGCTGCCAGCCCGACCGTGGCTCCGTGGGCCCAGGCTACTAAGACGTCGGACATGGGCCCGCTGCTCGAGTCTGATGACGAGAAGGTCAAGCGTGAGAAGCTCACTGCGCAGCTGGGGCAGTACGAGTCGGTGCTCAAGAGTCTTCCTGGGCCCGATGAGGACCCCATTCGAGCTGCGACGATCGAGAAGATTAAGAGCATCCGGGAGCAGCAGAAGGCGCTGCGCACACCTGCGATTGCTCATCGCAGGACGGCCCAGGACTTGCACAAGGCCCGCCTGGCCCGTGCAAAGATGGAGGCCGAGATTGTGGAGAAGACCTCGCAGATGCAGAAGCTGCAAGAGACGATCGACGAGCGCAGGCTGCAGCTGGAGGCGAAGAAGCTCGAGATTGACAAGCTCGACGCGGAGTACAAGCGGACGGCTGCCCTCATTGCTCAGTCTGATGGGGAGCCGAAGCCGTCGGTCACGATCAAGCTGGAGATCAAGCCTGAGGAGTCACAGGATCCTGAAGTGCAGGCCTTCCTCGGGTCGGATAAGTGGGAGATACTCAAGCCGATCATCCTCGCGAAGATCGGGCGGCCCTCGCATGGGGGGCACGACCATGCTCCTCCTGCTGCTGCTGAGCCTCCTGGGGGCGATGTGGCCGCAGGGGACGACGACATCGACATGGAGCAGCTCAATGGGGACGACTTCGAGGCTCGAGCGGAGGCGTTCCGAGCCGCGGCAGAAGCCCTGCGAGCTGCTGTTGGTGCTGAAGCCCAGGCAGACGCCGAGCGGCAGCTGCTGCACGCCCAGGAGGCCCTCGGGGTCAAGCGGCGCAGGCAGGGGCTTTAGCAAGGCGGCCAGGCCACAGCGTGTGCAGCAGGTGTGGAGGCTGTGGACTGTCAACACGAGCGCCTGGAGCACGTTCCAGGGCTGCTTGGACTGGCAGAGGAGTTGGGGGGACGACGCTCGGCCCCATGTGTGTTTTGGTCAGGAACATCGGTTGAAGGATCTCACCAAAGTTCGCAGTGCGGCAGGCTGGCTCCGAGCTCGCGGCTATCACGGGGCTTTCGGCAGGGCGAAGTCCACGGGACAGCTAGCCACGGAGTCGTCAGGGGGAGTTCTGACGGCAGTGGCGTCACACATCGCTCTCGCAGGCTTGAGCCTCAAGCATCTTGGCGTCCAGGCTGGATATTTCTCGAGACTGAAGCTGATTCGGGCCAACATGGCCTTCCCCCACGGCCTGCTGCTGGGCTCGGTCTACGGGTTCGTGGACGCGTCCGACAAGGTGTTCACATGGGACATGCTGGAGGACTTGGGAGTTTTTCTGCGTCGGTCCAGGCCACCGTGGATTCTTGCAGGGGACTTCAACTTGCCGCCAGATGATCTCAAGTTGTGCAAGTGGGTAGAGCTCCTGAAAGGCACGATCATGGCCCCAAGAGGTCCGACATGCTTCGCGCCCAAGGCGGGGTCCACGATTGACTACTACATTGTGAGTCAGGGGCTGGCCAACTTTGTCAGTGATGTTCGCACGATATATGGTACCCCCTCGGCGCCTCACGTCGCTGTTGCCATGCAGCTCAAGGGCCCCGCGCTGAACATCCCGCTCCACGTTCGCAGGACATGGGAGCCCTTCCCCGCTACCCTGCGGACGGGGCCTGTGCGGAAGCCTGCCGAGCACTGCTGGTCCTGGCCTGCAGGGGTACTCGCAGGGGTTCAGCTGGAGGATGCGTGGTGCCAGTGGCTGAGCAACATGGAGCTGGAGCTGTGCAACCAGTTCGACATCGTCGGAGCTGGGCAGGGAAGCTTCGTCGGCAGAGCTGACGGGTTCGAGCGTCGGCAGGTGCCTCTCTCCGTATCTGTGGAAAACGCGGCGTTGTCTGGCAGTGGGGCCCAGATGCGAGCCTGGAGGTCGCTAGATGCCATACTATCCAGGCTCCAGGCGCTCCAGGACGACACCGTAGGTGCTAGCGATGAGGACGTTGTGCAGCCGACCTCTATGTGTTCAGGTGGAGCTTGCGATCGTCGTGAGACGCACACGGGGGCGCAACCAGCTGCTCCCAGTGCCGAAGGGCTTAGCACCGAGGGTCCGCCGCTTTCCTTGGGAGCCATGGGCTTTGTCTTGCCAGGCTACACGTCGCCGCACTCGGGGCCGACGCCGCTGGCTGCTGCTGCGGCATGTTCGTCGATGTCGGCGTTTTCTTTGTCTCAGATGCCATCCCAGGTGGGCTCGGCTGAGAAGGCTGAGTGGGACTTCGCGGACTGCCCGCATGGGTGGGGGAGGCCTGTGCCTGCCTGCGAGGTCCGTTCGGCTGGAGCGGAGGTCCACTCGTCGACAGACCTGGCTCCTGCAGACCCCCTGGGCCGTGAAGGTGGCCAAGGCTTTAAACCAGGGGAGCGTCTCAGGGGCCAGGTCGGAAGGCAGCAGGGCCGCAAGGGACGTGTCCGTGGCGATACCCGTCTTCGCCTGCTGGAGGAGCTTGACCACCTCGACCTGTCGACGCTGACGGGGGTCAAGTCCGTGGAGTTCGACCTGCACTCACTGCGCAGCGTTGCTGAAGCGGGTGGGGAGGATCTGGCCACCCTGTCGACCTACGTTCACCAAGCGGCTCTGGAGTGGAGGCGTCCCAGTCGGCGGCAAAGGAGCAGCTGCAGGAGTGGAGAGAGTGGGCCCAGTCTGCGGTGAAAGCAGGTGGCCGTCGTGCTCACAGGTACCTGAAGGACCAGCCGCAGGTGAAAGGGCCCGCGGCTCCTGAGGGCTGGGCGCTGCAAGGGGACGCGGCCGTGCAGGCAATGCACACGGAGTGGCTGCAGTACTGGGGAGACGCCAAGGAGAGCATCTCACAGATCCAGGCAGCAGTCGCGCAGGATGATGAGTTGGCCAGGCCGTCTGCTGAGCGCGTTCGTGCGGTATGCCGTTCCTTTCCTCACCAGGTGGGCTGCGGGGTGGACTGCGTGAACCCGCGCTCCTTCGACCTGCTCGACGACGACTTCATGGAGAGGCTCGTGGACCTCATGGTGCTGCGGGAGGCCGACCCGCAGCTATCGGACAGATGGCCGACGCTGATGGTCTTCTTGGGCAAGCCTGACGGCTCGGGAGTCAGGCCGATCGCCCTCGTCTGCTCCATCCTGCGTGTATGGGGCAAGGTGCGGCGAGAGGAGGCCAAGCTCTGGGGGGGGCAGCACGCAGCTGGAGTCTTCTGGGGCGTGCGTGATCGTGAATGCGACAGAGCGGGCTGGGCGCACCAGACAATGGCGCACTACGCGCGCAGCAGGGGCATGCAGTCAGCTACGTTGGCCACGGACTTATACAAGTTTTACGAGCGCATATGTCACGCGGTTTTGTTTGCAGAGGCGGAGGCTGTGAAGTTCTCGACCAGGCTCTGTAGAGCGGCATGCTCGCTCTACTCGGGGCCGCGCGCGGTGTCCTTCAATGGCTGCGTCTCCGTGGTCTTCCACGCCTCAGGCACGGTGCTGGCGGGCTGCTCGCTCGCGACGTGCCTGACGAGAGTCCTGCTGTTCCGCCTGCTCACCAAGGTCGAGAGCGAGCACCCGACGTCGATGGTGAGGAATGTGATAGACGACATCAGTGTGCAGTCCGTCGGCACGAGCCTCCACGTCGTCAGGGAGTTGGGCGGCGTCGGGAGCAAGCTGATCGATGGGCTGCGCAGGCTGCGTCTTGTGCTGTCGGAGAAAAAATCACAGGTTCTAGCATCGTCGAAAGGGGTTGCCGAGGGACTGGCCAGTGCGTGGAAGGCGTCATTCAAGAAAAAGGCTGTGATTCGGAGTCTGGGGACTGATTGGCAAGTGAGCTCTTCTAGGTTGGCCCCCATTGCCTCCACCAGAGTTAGGACTTGTATGCGGAGGTCGGCGCGCCTCCGCTCTCTGAGGCGCGCTGGGGCCTTCGTGGGGCACATCCAGAGAGCGGGTCCTCAGGCCTCGGCGTTGTGGGGGGCCTCGGCGAGAGGGCTTCCTTGGTCGCAGTTGAAAAGGATCCGCACTCAGGCCCTCTTGTCTCTGGCTCCTGCGAAGAAGGGGACGTCTGTGGGTTTAAAACTCCGCACGTTTAAGCAGGGTAAAACCATGGACCCCGTTCCGTTGTATTTCAAACAGGTTGTTTTTGAATGGGCTCGGGCTGTCTGGGACGGACTCCCCAGCATAACGATCCTGCAGGCAGTTTTTGAGGACGCCGTTCGATCGCTTGCCACCACCAGTCGCCCGTGGTCGAGGGCGACGTCCCCTGCTCACGTGTTTGTGATTGCTTGTGGGGATCTGGGATGGGAAGCGAGATCGGCGCGCCTCATTGTTCTCTCGACGGGCGAGCAGGTTGACTTGCTCAGGCTCTCGCCGTCGGTTGCTGCCACTCTCGCCCAGCAGGCCGCCAGAGAGATGTCGGATTTTCGTGCCCTCGAGGCTCGTGTGGGTTCGTCGTCGTGGTGTCGTCCTGTGTTTTGGCAGCCGCTGGACTTCTTGTTCGCCAGGAAAAGCGATTCCTGGGACAGGACTCGTAAGAATTCTCTCAGGGCCGCGGTCTCGGGGACTCACTGGGCCCAGGACCGTCTGCAGCGGCGCGGCTTGGTGTCGTGCAACCTTTGCAGGCTGTGCTTGGGGGCCCCAGGGACCACGTTCCACCGTAGATTTGTTTGTGAGGCTTGGGCTGCTGATCGCTCTCATTACTTGTCTGATGAAGCGTTAGCTGCAGCCACGCTAATTCGGCAGCTGGGTGACCCTGGGGAATTTTTGGCTTCGGGCATTTTCCCGTCTCCCAGGGAGCTGGTCCCCCCGCCTCTTGGGTCCGAAAGGTGCCAGGTCTTCTGGATTCGGAGGCCCGAGGATGGCCTGTTATCTGGCAAACTTTTTACCGATGGCTCTGCCATTTTCCCCTCGGACCCGCTCCTAAGAAGAGCAGGGTGGGCGGTGATCTCGGTCGATGACACTGGCGCCATGATCTCTGGAGCTTTCGGCCCCGTCCCGTGGGATGTTGCTCCTCTCCAGCTCGCCAAGGATGGCGAGGATTATGCGTATCGGATGCTCGGCCAGATTGCTTTGGACCCCGAGGGAGTTTGGACCGATTGTGCAGCTACGATTTCTTGTGCTCGGTCGAGAGTTCGCTCCACGAGTGCCCGTTGTGGCCAGGCTCACATGTGGACCACTGTGCATGCGGCCTTCGAGGATGGGCTGGTTGTCCATAAAACGAAGGCCCACTGCGCGGAGGCGGACGTGGAGCGAGGAGTCACCATTCGTTGGGAGCGTAAGGCTAACGCCATTGCCGACGCCCTCTCGAAGCGATGGGCAGGTAAGCATCCATCGGTCGATCAGGCCGCCCGTGAAATCGCTGGTTTAAGACTCTTGGGGCGGGAGTTGGGCCGGTGGGTGGGGCGGCAGGGGCTTCTGATGCGGGAGCGGGGGTGGGAGGACTCGGAGGGCCTGCCTGATAAGCGCCTGGAGCCTGGTTTGGGCCCTCGCCAGGGCCGCCCCCTTGAGCCCCCCATCCCCCCCGTGTCTGTGCGGTTCAGGGCCGCGCTTTCCGCCATTGCCCATTCGGGGCCGTGTGACCCCGAGCTGTCAATTTTGATGAGGCTGTCTCAGCATAACTTGCGAGTGTGCCATGTTTTTGATCAGACGGGAGCATCCGTTGTCTCCGCCCCGCGTATTGTGTGTTGTATTTCGTGTGGGGCGTACGCGCGGGGCGGGGTCAGGGAGCTCGCCGTTCGAGAGTGTCACGGTCACAACGTGGGGAAGGGGCTCAAGCAGCAGCGATCACGGTTGCTCGCGGGCCTCTTTCCCAGGTGGCTGAGTAGGTACAAAGGCTGGAGTGTGAGTTGTCTCGAGCGCCCCGTCCCTGGAGATCTCCTGGACTTGGCTCGGGCGATTCTCGACCGTCCCCAGGCGCGTGCGACGGTGCCTGCCTCCAGAGCCGTTTTCCCCAGGGGACCGCCATGGCAGGTGCCCATGGGGCGAGGGCCTCTCCTCGCCCGCTTCGGCCTCACGGTGGACTCGCTCCCGTTCTGGGAGCAGGAGGCCGCCCGTCGGGGCGCGGGGGAGGAGGAGGAGTTGGTTTAATTTGTTTCCGTTTTTATCCTCGCGGTCGGTATCTTGGACGCCGTCCGCCCTCGTCTTATCTTACCTCCTCCTCTTCCTCCTCCTCGCGCTCGTTCTCCGCCTTCTCCTCCTCCTCCTCATTCTCCTCCTCCTGCTCCTCCTCCTCGTCTTCCTCCTCCTCCCTCCTCCTCCTCCTCCTCCTCCTCCTCCTCCTCCTCCTACCCCTCCTCCTCCTCCTCCTCCTCCTCCTCCTCCTCCTCCTCCTCCTCCTCCTTTTCCTCCTCCTCCTCGCGCTCGTTCTCCTCCTCCTCCTCCTCCTCCTCCTCTTCCTCCTCCTCCTCCTCCTTCTCCGAGACCAGGCGGGTGGGCGGCACCGGCGTGGGCCTACAGCCGAGATTGTTGGTAGTGATGGGCAACTTTCCCTGGTGTGTTCTGTTCGCCTGGGAGTTCGTGCTGATGCAAGTTTTGGTGTGGTGTGTCGGAGTTGCCTGTGGCTTTTTGTAAGCCTCGGTGTAAGCGCAGAGCCGAGCCGTACGCTGGGTGTTTGCGAGACCCGACTCTTCTCGGGCGTGGCTAGGACGAGGATGCGTCCGTTACGGAGCGTTGCAAAACGCTCCCACAACGTTTCGCAACGCTCTGGAAAAGCTGCGGCGCCTGAGACATCCATCCCCCAGAGCCGCCGGACCTCAGAGATTCCCGACTAATCCTCACTCGATTTTCTCCTCGTTTTGGCTTCGTCTTTTCTCCATTGTTCAGGAAGGAGAAACACAGAGACAGAGACACAATTCATCGTCGATTCCCCCGAGAATATGGGAAAATATGGGAAGGGGAGGGAAGACGAAAACCTAGAAAATATTTGAAAATATGGGGAATCCTGGGATTTGTGTGTATTTATCTGTGTGTCCTTGGGCCCTCATCCCTGCCGCTGCGCGTGGAGGCCGACGCTGCCAGGAGGGCCTTCGAGGCGAGGCGGGGGCGCTTCCGGACCGTGGAGGAGCTCGACGCCTGGAGGGAGGGCGAGAAGGCATCGCTGTCCTCCTCCGTCCTCCTCGTCCTCGTCCCTCCCTTGTCGTCGTCGTCGTCGTCGTCGTCGTCGTCGTCGTCGCCTGCCCCTTCTCCCCATCCTCCTCGTCCTCCTCGTCCTCCTCCTCCTCTTCCTCCTCCGTAGCCATTTTGGCTCAAGCCATTTTGGCTCAAGGGGCCTTCGCGCCGCGCACATCGTGGGGGCGCAGCGGCGCGGAGCCGATGGCATGGGGCGACCTTCCAGAGGCCGGCGGGGCCCCGTGGAGGCAAAGGCCAGCGCGCCGGTCGCCCGGGAGGCAGCGATGGTCGCAGCAGCAGTGGCAGCCGCGGTGGCCCCAGCGGTGGCCGCAGCTGTGAGAGCGGTTGCCGACGCTGCGACGGCGCCAAGGCCGAACGCCAGGCAGACGGTCACCACCCACCAAGCCACCCCAACCCATCCCGAAGGCTTCAAATTGACCTCCATTTCCAGTGGGGGGGGGGTCGGGGAACATCGAGGAAATGCATATGGAAGCCGTACCCCCCCCAACCCGAAATTCGGGTCTTCGGGTTGGGTTGGGGTGGTCGGGTAGGTAGTCAGACGGCCATGCCATCGGTGCGGCCGTCGCAAGCGCCACCAGTCCTGGCCATCAAGGACGCAGAGGTCCCCGGAGCAGCTTTCGACCTCTCCGCGCGGGACGCCGAGGGGGGGGGCGCAGCTCGAGGCGCTCACCAGGCCGGCCGCTTGCCCCGCCCCCAGGCCACTGGATGGGGCCGCCGCTGGCGCGGGCGCTGCTGGGATGGCATGGCGCGCGGCCGCCAAGTCCCCCGCAGGCGAGGCTCAGGTCGCGCAGTGCCAGGGCGCGTTCCAGGAGGAGCCGGAAGGTGAGAAGGCGATGAAGCAGCAGGAGTCCTCGGAGCCGCTGGTGGTGGACTAGCCTACCTGGGGTGCCCTGTGCGCACCGAGTGGTACGACCTCGCTGACAGCGACGGCGAGGAGGAGGGCAACAAAGTGGATAGCTACGACTTCAAGGAGCAGTGCGAGCGGAAGGCCGAGGATGGCGACATCTTCAAGCCCGAGGTTCACCAGGTGGAGGAGAGCACGAGGCAGTGCTACGAGCGCCAGCGCCAGGACCACGACTTCAGCGGAGTCCTGCTGGCCAACGCGGAGGTGTTCCTCAAGACCAAGGCGGTTCGGGAGCAGCGCTGCGCGCAGTGGCGCCTGGGCAGTGACACCATCGTGGGAGTGGTCGGGCAGAAATGCGCGGAGTCGGAGGGCCTTCCCGAGATTCCGCTCTTCCCGTCTCTTGAGGAGGTGCTGGACGACGAGCCGGCCAAGAACGAGACCCAGAAGACCCAGGAAATGCACGATCTGCACAGCGTCGGCATCGTCAACTTCCTGGAGCAAGTCGGGGAGCAGGAGGTGAGCAAGATCATCCAGGAGCAGGGAGGGGGCTGCACGTGGGTGGAGCTCCTGAGCTGGGTGAATAAGAACTTCGAGAACGATCTGCCAGGATATATTCGGGATCTCTGAGTCGGAACTTGACTGGGGCGCCCTGATATTCATCAGTTGCGAGTTGTTTTGGGATTTTTCGCATCCGGTATCTGAATGTGTTTGTGAAGCACGTTGTGACGCAGGACAGTCTGCCTCAACTTGGTTGGCTCGTGCCAGAAGATCAGCATTCAGGAATTGAATGTGTACGCGAAGCAGTTCGCGATTACTTCAAGAGGACGCGAAAACGAGTTTTCGTGAGCCGCGGAAGGCATGAGTGGCCTCGCGGGGGTAGCAGCTTCGTGGGTTTCTTTGCGGGGCCCTTCCCCTCCGCGTTGGTTTTCCGGTCCCTTGGGCCCCCGTCCGCCCCGTAGAAAACATTGGGGGAGCTGCGGCCCCCCTGGGGTCGGGGCGGGCCCGACGGCGCGCGCCGAGCAGGTCCTCTGACGGACTTGGCACAGTCAGTTCCCTCCGTTCCCTCCTCTTCCTCCTCCTTGTCCTCCTCCTCCTCCTCCTTGTCCTCCTCCTCCTCCTCCTCCTCCTCCTCCTCCTCCTCCCCGTCCTCCCTCCATCCCGTCATCCCTCCTTCTCCTCCTCCTGCTCCTCATCCTCCCTCCTCTTTCCTTCCCTCCCCCCATCCCTCCCTCTCCTTCTCGTCTTCCTCCCCCCTCCTCCTCATCCCCCTCGTCCTCCTCGTTCTCCTCCTCCTCCCCATCTCCGAGGAGGAAAGGTAAAGGTATCGATGCCCTTCCCTGGTTTGGACCCTTTGGGGTCTCCTGGGAGACCCTCTTCGCCACGATTAGATTCTCTTCGAAGTTCTGGTCGGAAAGCACCCGAGGAAAGGTTCAGGGAGTAGCGGTATCGGTACCAGTCTTTCTTGCTCCCCCAGGTGACGCGGGCGGTGATGTCTCGTGCCTCGTCATCGTCCTCCTCCTCCTCCTGGTCCTCCTCCTCCTCCTCCTCCTCCTCCTCCTCCTCCTGCTCTCGCCATCGGCCTATTCTCCCCGCTCCCCTCCTGCATCCTCCCTCCCTCCTCCCTCAATCGTCGTCCTCCTCCTCCTCCTCCTCCTCCTCCTCCTCCTCCTCCTCCTCCTCCTCCTCCTCTCCTCCTCCCGTGTGATCCTTGCGTCGCAGTTTTTTGCACAACGGGCGATCTCGCCTCCTCCCAGGGCCCAGGACCCTCACGGGCCGATCCGGCTCGAGCACCGCCGCGGGAAGAGGGTGCCCCGCGGGCCCCCCCCCCTCGGTCGAGTTTTGCGCTCTGCGCCGCCGCCCTTTCTCTTCTTGACGTCGGCTCTCGGGGCCGCCTCTCGCCCTCTTCTCGCCCCCCGCTCGCTCCTTTCGCGCGTGCGTCTCTCGGGCCGGACGTAGGGGGGGGGATTGGGAAAGGGGGGGTTACGAAACCTGCTGCATGCAGCTGGTTTCGGCCCCACCGAGGGGCCATGCATTCCTCCATGCATAGCCGCCTCCGGCGCCGGGAGGCGCCGGGAAAATCAGCTACGCGAGCTGATTCTCACCCCCCCCCCGTTGCTACCCCCCCCTTTCGCCCGGCCCGAGTCTCCGGGACATCGGCGCGGGGGCCTCCCCTTCGCCCCCGGCGGGCGGGAGGCGCGCGCGGCGCGGGGCGGCGCCGGGCTCGCCCCCCGGGGGGGCCCCCGGCGCAGGTCTTTAAAATGTCGGCGTGCTGCCCCGGAAGCCGAGGCATCTCCAGATCGGGTATTGCCAGAAGTGCCCCTGGCCCAGGGTGCCTCCACCAGGATCTCCACGGCAGCCCCCCACGGCCTCCAGAGCCAGGGGAACAGAAAGATGCAGAAACACGAAAACTCGGAGGTCCGCGCGGATTTCTCGGATCGGCGCTGGGGCCCCCTCCCTGGCGCGCGGAGCGCGCCAGGGGCGGCGCCGGAGGCGCCGCCGGGGGGGCCCCAGCGCCGATCCGAGAAATCCGCGCGGATCTCCGAGTTTTTGATGATTATGTAACTTTTCGTTCCCCTAAGAGCACCCCTCACGAGGCCCAGAGGGCCCCATGGGGCTCCAAAGTGGAGGGAAACGCTGGGGGCACCCTGGGCCAGGGGCACTTCTAGCAACACCCGACCAGAACAAGTAATGCCGCGGCAGGGTCGCAGCATTTCAATGCGGCGGGTCGCAGGAGGAGTGGTGTCGTTGGGTTCGTGGTCGAGTGTGAGCTAGAGGGAGAAACGAAGGCGCGCATAGATTTACGACAGTCCGCGCGGACCGTCGAAGAATTATGCTTAGGCCGTTCTTCTCCGTCTTCTTGTTCTTGTTCTTCGAAGAGTGTACCCCGCTGCCGAGTCTCATGATGGATAACGCCCCGCGGGTGAAAGAAGCCCCTCTAGGCTCCCCAGGCGTGGCCGCGCTGGGACGGGTGTGGTGGAAGGGACAGGGCTGAGGGAGGCGTGCGCGCGGTGGGATGTGGAGGGGGTCGGGAGGAGTGCTGTCCTTACAGTGTTTTATAATGCTCCGCGTGCGGATCATGCAGTAAAAAACAGGGATTCAGTACTAACAACAACGATGAGTTCATGCGTTTACTCATAACTTAATCATGCATTAAAAACCTATATGTTAAACAATCCTATGTATTGAAAACTGCCCTGTAGCCCCCTTGATGGGGGGCGCGAGAGGCGAAGGCCTGTGGGGCGCGCGTGCGTCGGCGCGTTCCCCCGCCCCCGAAAGGCCAAGCAGCGCGCGCAGAACCAGCGGGAGAAGGAGCGGCCCGCCTCCTTGGCAGCAGCGCGGGAGGGAGGGAGGGAGCGAGAGCGCGGGGGGGTTGGAGGGGAGAAGACCTGGACCCCCCCCCTTGGAGGGAGGAGGGGAGGATGGGAGGAGGCGAGGGGAGGGAGGGAGGGAGAGAAGCGAGGAGAGCGAGTCGTGCAGGAAAGCTGACGGGGGGTTTTAGGCCGCCAGGGGCCCTCAGCGGGCCCCCAGGCCCTCGAACAAGAGTGGCTCGGGACGGAGGCCAGTGCCGGGGAAGTGGTCTGAGAGCCTCCGGGGCTCCTCGTTGTGAGAGAGTGTCGCGAAGCCTTGGAGGTCTGGGGACGGAGGGAGGGAGTTGGAGGGGGGACAGTAGGAGGAGGGATGAGGATAGATTGAGCAGAGGAGGAGGAGGAGGAGGAGGAGGAGGAGGAGGAGGAGGAGGAGGAGGAGGAGGAGGAGGAGGAGGAGGAGGGGAGGTCTGGGGGTGGAGGAGGAGGAGGAAGGGGGAGGGAGGTGGATGGGGGGAGCAGCAGGAACAGGGAGGAGGGATGAGGTGGGAGGAGGAGGAGGAGCAGGAGGGTCAAGGGAGAAAAAACATCCCGACCTCCATCATCGGCGTTTGCGAAACGGCCTTAGGCGGGTACCAAACAGCACTGCCCTGTTCCATGTACCTCTTGGGTGCGCTTGCTACAAGCCTGTCTTGTCGTGGTGCTTTGTTTGAGGGTGGTTTCTCTATTCTTCTATAGTGGAGGAGGAGGAGGAGGAGGAGGAGGAGGAGGAGGAGGAGGAGGCGGCCCTCCCCGGAGCTGCGGGTGCGCCCTCGAGGGCGCGCAGTGCTTCGCGCCTCGCGGCTCGGCTCCGATGCCTCCTCGTCCCCTCCCCCCCGGGGTCGGCGCGCCCCGATGCCTCCCTTCTCGAGGATCAGAGGCCCTCTTCCCTCCTCCTCCTCCTCCACCTCCTCCACCTCGTCCTCGTCCTCGTCCTCTTCCTCCTCCTCCTCCTTCCTCCTCGTCCCCTTCCTCCCCCTGGGGTGGGGGGGCGGCGCGAGAGCGCGACGCGTACTTCGCGCCCCGCGCTCTGCGCGCAGCGCGGAGCGCGGAGCTGGGCGCTTCTCGGAGCTGCCTCCCGAGCAGCACTACGCCACCCGTCGCCGCATCTGACGGTGTGCACGGGTGGTGTACTTTAGGCGATCGCAAACATGGATCCAGGTGCGGGCAATGGCTACATCCACCTCCAGTGCGTCTTGGAGTTTCGGGCTCTCTTCCCCAGAAACCGGAGGCGCACTGGATATGGATAAACATCTGGCCCACAAAGCCTAGATTTTTATCCATATCCCGAGCGCCTCGGCCTTGCGGCGCCTCTTCAAGAAAATTCCAAGACGTATTGGATATGGATCTAAGTATCGGGTCCCGGTTCCATGGGACTTCGCGGACTTCCGCCGCCGAGCGAGGCGGCACTGGCCGCATTCTGGGGAGGGCACCTCCCCCGACCCATGGATTTGGCGACCGCGCGCCAAATCCATGGATCGTTAATCCATGTTTTCGCGCCCCAGATCCTGAGCAGCTCCACACCACCCATCGCTGCATCAGACAGTGTGCACGGGTTGGTGCACTGTTCGCCGAACATTTTCCACTTCTCGCCAAGTGCCTACTCGCAAACGTCTGGAACAAAAACACGTGTCTGCTTCGATGTAATTTATTGGAGGTCCCCCGCGGTGGATCCAGGCCATCTGAGAATCGTTACTTTGCAAGTAGTGGAACGCGCTCGTCGAACTCTGCCTCCGACAAGGCTCGATCGCAATCGGCTCTTCCGTTTGCCGTCCGCGCCCGATGATGGGCTTGTTTTCCACCATCACCACCCCTACCACCACCACCACCATGAGTTGGAGGGGAGAAGGAGGTAGATGGTGATGATGATGATGATGATGATGGTGGTGGTGGTGGTGGTGATGATGATGATGATGCTGCTGATGATGCTGCTGCTACTAATGAGGATGATGCTGATGCTGCTGCTGCTGCTGATGATGATGATGCTAATGCTGATGCTGATGATGATGATGATGATGATGATGACGATGATGATGATGATGATGATGATGATGATGATGATGATGATGATGATGATGATGATGATGATGATGATGATGATGATGATTGATGATGATGAGAGAGGAGGGAGAGAGGGAGGAGGAGGAGGAGGAGGAGGAGGAGGAGAGGACCCCCTCCCCCTCCTTCTGATGGTGGTGGCGGCGGAAAACAAGCCCACCACCTGAGGACCCCCTGCGCCCCCAACGGGGCACGTGGTGTTCTTCTTGTGGCAGTCCGACCCTCTATGCCAGTCTAGCTGTATGGCAATAGCTTTATCCGATGTTGTGGTCTTCCTTCCCTCGTCTCCACTCTCCGCGGCCGCGCGCGCTGCTCATCGACGGGGAGCATCTTGACCGACTCGCCTCCTCCTCCCTCTCCTCCTCCTCCTCTTCCTCCTCCTCCTCCTCCTCCTCCTCCTCCTCCTCAGCACCGCGCGCGCCCTTAGCAGGAGCGCCTGGCGGCCGCGGGGCGCGAGGGCTTTGGCTGGCGGGCCCGCGCCGCCGCCGGCCGGGCGAGGAGCCCCGCCCATCCCCCCGCCGCGCGAGCGCGAGCCGCGCGGGGGTGCCCCCCCCCACGCGGCGGCGCGGCGGTCCCCCGCGGTCGCCGCGGTCGCCGCGGCCGTCGCGGCGTGGTCGCCGTGGTCGCCGTGGGCCGCCGTGGCCGTGGCCGTGGCCGCGGTCGCGGCCGTGGTCGGCGGGCGTCGTGGGCGCCGCCGTCGTGGTCGTCGTCGTGCTCGTGGTCGTGGTCGTGGTCGTGGTCGGCGTCGGCCGGCGGACGGGTGGAAGGGGAGGAGGACAGGAGGGAGGGGGGAGGAGGAGGAGGAGGAGGGGGATGGGGAGAGGGAGGGGGAGGAGGAGCAGGGAGAAGGAGGGCTGGAGGAGAAGGGGGAAGGGGGAGCCGAGAGAAGGGGGAGTGGAGGAGGAGAAGGGAAGGAGGAGTGGAGGGTGGAGGAGAGGAGCAGGGAGAAGGGGGTGGCAGCATGAGGGAGAAGGGAGGAAGGAGGACGATGAGGAGAGGAAGGAGAAGAGATGGGAGGGGAGGGGGAGGTTCCAGGAGAGTTCGGACTGGGGTTGGGTGGTTTCTGGAGGTTTCGGAGAGTTTTCGGATGTTTCTTGGCGGTTTCGGATGCTCTCGGAGTGAACAGGGCCTATGGTAGGACTCGGAGGGGTAGGATGCGGAGGAGGAGGAGGAAGAATAGGGAGGAAAGAGGATGGATGAGGAGGATGGTGAGGAGGAGGGGGAGGAGGCGACGTAGGAGGCAAATGGGGCAGAGGGAGGGAGAGCGGGGAACGCAGAAAGTAGAACGACGACCGCGCCCTGCAAGACAAAGAGTGGGAACGCAGGAACGCAGGACGACGGGGTACGATGCCGAAGGATGCGCCCTGCAAGTCAAACGTGTGGCCCCTGGCCTGTCGGCGATTTCAGCAGTGCCCGTCCCATCAGCAGCCACCGTGCCTGGGTTCTCGCCGCGCTCGGCGCCGCGTCGCCACAGGGAGACCGGTGCAGTTCTGCCTTCTCGCGGTGAGGAAGGCGCAGCGCCTGGGCAAAGCACCCCGCGACTGTACGAGGGTGCTCTGCCCGTGGGAGGCTCCACCGAAGACGGTATTCACGACTGCCGAGCCCACTCACAGCTCCACACGGTTGGGCTTCCCGCCGGGATCATTGTGTTCTGCTCTGGCGGCAGGCGCCCGCGGCCGCCACGCGCAGAGCTCGACCAGCGCGGCCGCCGCCCCCCGGGCCGCCTACTTCAGCTGCGCCGCCAGGGGGGCGCGCCTGGAGCGCCCCGCGGGCGCGGGGGCGCGCCGCGCCCCTCCTCCGAACCACGTCGCTGGAGCGCGCCAGGCTGGCGCGCCGCGGCGGGGAGAGGGGGCGCTGCGGTTGACGGGGTGTTCTGCGAGTGGAGCTGGCGTCCAGGGTCGCCGACTTCGGGGTCTCGAGGCACGGTGCGCGAGCAGAGCCGCGAGCGGGATTCGTGCGCCCCGGGCGGAGCAGGGGCCCCTCCTGGGAGAGCGTACGAAGTGCCATTTTTAATGCATGCTCCGCGCGCGGATCATGTATGAAACATGCTGGGGTTTAGTATTAAAGACAACGATGAGTTCATGCTTAAATCTTTTCATAGATGAATCATGTACTAAAAATCTTACATGTTTTGAACATCCTATGTATCAACAGCTGCCCTGTACGACGTGCAGCTGACGTGCACGCGGAGGGTGCGGATATATCCAGCGGTCATGACGTGCGGATCGACCAAGACGGCAGAGGCGTGGAGGCAGAATCTCAGAGAGCAGCGACGGCCACAGCGTGTTCGTCGCGTTCTGTCGAGTCGCAGGCCGTGCCGCAGCGTGACTCGAGCTATACCTTCTGGGGCCAGGGTGGGGGGTCGAGGGAGGCGTTCTTGGATGGGGAGTAGTTCTTGGAGGGTGAGGGGTCGAGGGAGGCGGTGAGTAGTTCTTGGATGGGCAACCGGGTGCCGGAGACTCTGGCTGCGCGGGGCCAGCAGACGGGCACTGGCGCGACCTCCTAACCAGCACGTGGGGCCATCAGGGCGAAGTGCCAATGCGACCTTCGTGAAGTCGCGTTATCCTCAGACCTGAGCCGCCATCGCAGCAGGCGTCCTCTCAGGCACGGGTGCTCTCCACTGGTTCCTCGGTTCGCATCTCCAACTCACCTTCTTTCCACCAGATCTCCCTCCCTCTCCCCTTTCTGGATGCTCTGCGCACCTGTCTCTATACTGTGGTCTGCGGCTGGTTGACACAGTGCGTAGTCGGTGAACATGTTATTTCTGTCTGGCTACGCGCAGCCTGCGCTTTTGCGATTTGCGCTGGCTGTCACAGATCTCTTCGCAGCGGCATCATGAGATCTTTGTAACAAAAACAAGGGCTCGCTTGTAGGTGCGCTTACTCAGGACGCCTGCGCCATTCCGCCGACCCCCAGAAGAGTATACATGTGTATTCGCAGTTCTTGGGCTCTTCCTCTCGGCCGCCTTTTCAGGGTCCTTGCATGTTTGGGGGGCTCTCTGATGGTTTCCTGAGGGGTTCGGAGAGTTGTCGGATGTTTCCTGACTGTGTCGGGTGCACTCGAAGGGAGGAGAGTAGGGGCAAATGTATGGTCATTTGGAGGGGGAGGAAGGAGGAGGATGCCGAGGAAGAGGAAGGAACGGAGAGGGAGGAGGAGGAGGAGGAGGAGGAGGAGGAGGAG